GCCGTTGTGTGTGCAGGATCATGACAAATCCTTAAATAAATCAGCCCATTCACTTAACAAAAATAACATATAAGATAGTAAACAGTAAATTGACAACAGCTAGGTTGTAATTTACTAATAATAAGTATTTAGAAATGGAAATTAAATTCCTATGTCCTGGTAAATATTCTGGATCACAAACGTTATAGTGTTCAACTGTAGTGTGCATTGTAGCACAAGTAACGTTTTTCCAATTACTTCAGAAATAAGTACTTTTTCAGGCACTACTTCATTTTTGTAGTTTTTTTACTCTTTCCCGCTATTTCTATGACTCTTCTTAACTTTCTTCTTCCAAAAATCTATGTTTAACTTTAGTTTTTTGCCTCTATTTAATTGTTTAATAAGGCCTGACACCGGTGAAGACATGGTCTTGTCTGCCCAATACGCTGCACAAGGAACGTTCTTCCAGGGAGGGCCAAATTCCCCTACCCATAATTCAATGTTTTAGTTATAAAATCGGCCAAAAGATGTCACCACTTGACAGACAAAAGCACAAGGAACGTTTTTCTATCAAAAACCTGCAAACTCTAATTCTGGCGCTTGGAACGTTTTTCCGGGGAGCCATTCAAATATCGGTAGTAGAGATATTTTTTGGTTGTGTGTAGCACCTGTAGCACTCATTGATCGTTGTATTCAATTAAAATTTTAGTTGACAGTTAACCTATGATAGACAAATAGCTGACAGTGATTAGGGACTTATATTAAGAAATGGTACCACCAGATGTCACCAACTAGTTATGTAGTTATGTCAATTGACGGACATTCAGCAAATAGCAATTGCAGGGTATTTTGAATGTAAAATGTTTTATTTTTATGATCATAGCCGTTTGAAATCATACTTAACTGAACATTATATTTTGAAATTGTAACTTGATCATTTCATAAGAACCAATTTAATTGAATGCGGTTTAATAATGTGTGTTATAAAATACTAACCATGAAATATTCACTGTAAAGTCAAGGATTATGTTTCCACTGAACATACTCACACAATACATACATTTCCCGCTCTCTAAAAACATATTGTATCCGATACGTACTACGTGCACGAATGTAGGCTATGTAGGTTGACACAAAACGTAAAAATAAAACTCCGCTCAACTCTTTCGCTGTGGAACGTCGGAATTATTTATTGCTCGCTGAAGACTGAAATGATAAATTCCCTTACTTTTAGTAGAGTTTTTATGATGTTCACGTGTAAAAGTTATGATTGTGTTTTGGAAGTTAATCATATAGATGAAAATATTGGTGTTCAAAGTTAGGAATTTAATAACTTCAACTGCTTACAAAATGTTCACTTAATGGAGCAATAAACCAGAACATAGTGTAAAGGTTTAATATAAGTTTCATACTACATAACTTTACTTTTAGCGTTTAATGAACATAACGCTTACTAGATTAAATACCCTACATTAATAATTAATTACAATGATATTCCAACAAAAATGCATACACATTTTACTGCATGTCCTTTAATTGAGTATGTTCTTTTACATTTCAATTTGACATTCAAAACAACGGTTTAAGGCTTTATCACGATGCTCAAAACTGTATTCGTGATTGGAGGGTTTTAAACCTGGGTCCCCCGTACTGAAAGCCGCGTTTCTACCGTAGGCCTATTTGTTTATAAATTTCCTTAGCTTAAAATATACTGATTATCAAATTATAACCTTGAAAAACTTCAGCCGAAAAAACTCTTGTGTAGATTTGGTTTATGTTGAAGTATGGCGATATTAAGGATTTAAATAATAATATAGTTTAACAAAAAAACTGCTCATATCAAACTCCATTTGATATAAATAGATTTCATGTAGTAATTTTTGGTTCCAAACAAGACATCTTCAACCTATTACTTTCTCATATAAAGTTCCATTAACTTCAAGTACAAACTAATTGAAACACTCGCTAACAGTTTCAGTAAATTAATTGTTTCCTAATTAATTAATGTAATGAAATTCATTTATTTACGATCTGCAACGGCATTTACTTAGCACACTTTTTAATTACACTGATTGATGTTACAAAAAAGGAGTCCATTAAGAATTGTACCTAAAGACTTTTCACCACTTTATCCAGCTATTTAATTTGTTAGTTGTAAATACTATTTAAAGAAATTTAAATGAAAAAGTGGGAAATTAATTTTCTAAAATGTGCCATCTTTTGTGGAACAGACTATAAAAGTGATCTCATTCTGACACAATGGACCGTGAGGTAATTTCAGTATTCACAAACGCTGACATAACCAACGCTACGTTAATGACCATGACATAATGTGGACTGTTATGTCTAAAGAGTAACCTGAACTGAGTTCATTGTTAATCTCTATGGAACAGAAACTGTGCAATGTACGAGGTTGTTGTATTTATCGTTTTAAATGTTTTAATTACAGTACTTAGCCATTATTAGTTCTGTTATTTTACTACGGTCGGCCGCTTAGAAAACGACCTCCTCCAGCATTGGTTTAGCATTAGCGCGCAGGTCGTTTTCTAAGCGGCCGAACTATATGTTTTAAATTTGTTGAGACAGATTTATTTTAGTATTAATGATTACAAGTGGTTTGAATACATACAGTGCAAGTGATTATTCCCATATTTTATTCTTTGCTTTGAATTATTAGGAATTGGGCCGCGGGTGAGCTTGAGTTATGAACAAATAATGTACGGTTTATGAGGAGTTAAAAATAAATGTAATATATTATTAAAGTTAATAGACCCATCAATAGATTGATCAAGTTATCGGTTAAAAGTTGATATTGACCTAACGATCTTTCTAAATGAAACACTCTTGCCATTCTCTATCCTGAGTTCATTCATAAGTTCTGTAAGGCACTTTATTGAAGTTATTGAGAACATCCAACTCGCAAAGGTAATTTAAACCAATTCATAGATATAGAAACCGATCAGTGAGCAAAATAATAAAGATTGATTTCAACTGTTTCATTTCAATTAATGCTCACAACATCGATATTGATTAAGAGTTTCATTTTGAGGTTGGTCAGGATTCTAAAGAATCAACTGTATGGATACGAATGAACGCTGTGTACAGTTGTTAGTTAATGTAGCCACAGAAGTTACAGTATTCTGTGTTGCAACATGAAACAACAATGAGAAACTACAACAATGCCAGGAGAAGTAGCTCCGTAGTTGTCTAAAGGCCAACCTCTGCTACGTCTGTAAACAATAGGCCTATCATTAGTTGTTAGTTCAAGCTTTTTCTCGGATCTGGTTCAAAGGTCGGCTCCATGAACCCTAAACAAACAAAAAATATTTTGCAGAAGTTCCTTCTGTAGTTATTAAATATTATTTGTAGTCCCAGATCCCAATCGCTATGCAAAACATTACAGGTCTTTATAAGTAATTAGAAAGTATATTTGCCATAAGACCCATAACAAAATTATATCCCAAGCTTTGTTATTGGATTTAGTACATTGCTATTAGCTGAATATATTCAGCTCATAATACATTTTATTCTGATAGTAATATTTACGTTACTAGTAGATTACCATACTTAATTACAACTCATATGTAATTGAAAGGTAATGCAACTATACTCAGCATAAGAAACTTACTATTGATTCACAATTGTAATGTAAATGCCAATAAAAATGTAATATGTACAAAGGTGCAGCTATATTACTGTCAAAAGCCAATTTTAAACACTTCAAACCAGGATGTGCTTTGATTCCGCTTGAATAACTCCGTCAGTACCGGCAACACGCACCACCACGGGACATGTACAACATTAATTATCTGATACGTTTTTCATAGTACATTTATTTACATTGCTGTGTCCTTGATGAACTGATAAACAGAACAGACCATTGTGTATACATTTATATTTAGTGCGAAAATTAAATATACTTCCTGGATTGAGAACAAACCTACAGACAGTTGCCTAGGATGTTTGTTCTACTATATTTCATCACGTGACACGTGGTCCTCTCTGTTGCAAGGTTGTGCTATATAGACAGTGTAGGCTGGGACCAGGTAGCCAGGTGGGATCCTCTCAAGAACTACATCTCCCAGAACAAACCAACAGACAGTTGCCTAGGGTGTTTGTTCCACTATTTCATCACGTGATCCTCTCTTTTACAGGGTTGTGCTATGTAGGCACTGTAGGCTGGGATCAGGTAGCCAAGTGGGATCCGCTCAAGACCTACATCTCCCAGAACAAACCAGCAGACAGTTGCCTAGGGTGTTTGTTCTACTATATTTCATCACGTGACACGTGGTCCTCTCTGTTGCAAGGTTGTGCTATGTAGGCACTGTAGGCTGGGATCAGGTAGCCAGGTGGGATCCTCTCAAGAACTACATCTCCCAGAACAAACCAACAGACAGTTGCCTAGGGTGTTTGTTCCACTATTTCATCACGTGATCCTCTCTGTTACAGGGTTGTGCTATGTAGGCACTGTAGGCTGAGATCAGGTAGCCAAGTGGGATCCGCTCAAGACCTACATCTCCCAGAACAAACCAGCAGACAGTTGCCTAGGGTGTTTGTTCTACTATTTCATCACGTGATCCTCTCTGTTACAGGGTTGTGCTATGTAGGCACTGTAGGCTGAGATCAGGTAGCCAAGTGGGATCCGCTCAAGACCTACATCTCCCAGAACAAACCAGCAGACAGTTGCCTAGGGTGTTTGTTCTACTATTTCATCACGTGATCCTCTCTGTTACAGGGTTGTGCTATGTAGGCACTGTAGGCTGAGATCAGGTAGCCAAGTGGGATCCGCTCAAGACCTACATCTCCCAGAACAAACCAGCAGACAGTTGCCTAGGGTGTTTGTTCCACTATTTTATCACGTGGTCCTCGCTGTTGCACGGTTGTCCTATGTAGACACTGTAGGCTGGGACCAGGTAGCTAGGTGGGATCCTCTCGAGAACTACATCTCCCAGAACAAACCAGCAGACAGTTGTCAAGGTAGTTTGTTCCACTATTTCATCATGTGGTCCTCTCTGTTGCAGGGTTGTGCTATGTAGACACTGTAGGCTGGGACCAGGTAGCCAGGTGGGATCCGCTCAAGAACTACATCTCCCAGAACAAACCAGCAGACAGTTGTCCAGGGTGTGACCCGAGCTGTCCTCAGGGGCTGTGTTGGAGTCTTAACCAGTGTCAGGTTAGGGTCATTGTTTGATTTAACTATTTATTTTTACTAGTACCTCACCAATGCTTTGCAAAGTACTTAGAACCCAACAATGTCTTTAAAATCATTTCCATTAACGACATTATTGTGACTAGTTTCATTAAAAGTTCAGCATTGTCAATACTTACTACAAAATTTAAAATATCAAAATAAATAACTAAATTTATGAAGACACAAAACATAAATTCACAAAGACAGCGGCTTTCTTGACTAATCTGTCCTGGGGGTGGTTTTAAACAAGTGTTTAATTTGTTTAAGGGGTTTTGCTAGTCTTTCTGTTGGTAAAAAATTTTACCGAGGGGGCTTACAAAGGGGATAAGGTTCCTTAAACCCACTGTATTTAAAATATCATAACACAGTTAAAGTAATACCATTTATCATAGAATCTGTATTATACCACTAATTTTATAAATAAATTGTCTTGGTCTTATTTTGGTGTTAGTTATGCATTGTTAGCTTGTTTTATTAAAGGGTAAAAAAAAAACAGTAATAAACAGCACGATTATATAACACAATTTTGTGTATGTGTATGGGCGTATTTTTTTATTTTTCCAAGGATACTTATAAATATTAATTTTCCTAAGCTCTAATCGCAATTTGAAAAGCCCCAAGGTAATCCCTAAAGTCCACGTCAAAAGGGAAATAAAACTTGGCTACGGATAATCTTTTTAGGCTAATTTGCTCCAGTTCTTTTACGTAATGAAACAGCACCTCATATACAGTAAAATATTATTTAACAGGGAAGAATTGATCAAAGTCACTGTCACAACCAGATGGACTGAATCAATTGAGTAGTTACGTGACAATAATAACAACCAATAAGAGGGTGTGTGAGATTTAAATTTTTTTTCAGTATAATCATTTTATTACAATAGAAATTTTACAAAAAAGAGTAGAGGACTGTAAAATTAGAAATTAACAATTAATTTTTAAAGAAAAAAATTTGGAATCCCAGCTCCATCTTCAAATTCTCTCGCTGACCGCCATTTCTTTCTTGTTCTCCTCAAACACATACTGGTTGACCTTAAAACAGCACAAATTGTTCTTGATCTTATCCAACTTATTACTAAACTGTATGGTTTTTTTTCACTTCTCTGATAGTTTTTCAGCCATAACCCTTAAAAACATTTGGAACTCATTCCCAAAAATTCCATCAACACTTGTAACAAGAGGAGTAAACGATGCATGTCGTTGTTCACAAGCTTTAGTATATTTTCATTTTTTTTTCATCTTCAGCTTTCTTAATAACTTGTTGATGAGGGATGGAGACATAATAAGATGGAGCATCAGTGTCAACGACACGAACATCAAACAATGCCTCCATCTGAGTCTCCCATACGCCTCAACAAGCTAGATCAGCTTTTAGTGCAGGTTCGTTGAGATGACTGCCTTCTGCTATCAAGGGCTCTTTAATGCAGTTTCCCCAAGCTTGTTCCATCATGTTACCTATCGTGTCTCTTACTTCATTGTGTCTTTTTATCATCAGACCTCCATTTCGACATTTTAGAGCATGCTCTGTATTGAACTCGTTTCCGCATCCTTCACATTTTAATGGGAGGTTTATTGGTGTTTTCCCATAACGTAGAGCAAGGGCATCTCTAAATTCTTGTGGGGACATGTCCAGATTAAGTTTCTTCAGAGGCAAGCATGATAGCCAGCATCCATGTTTTGCTCTAGGTCCTGCATTGCGCATAATAATTTTCTGCCGTTTTTCTGAGAAAGTTTCCAAATGCTGACTGAATAATTCTTCTTCCATGGATTTCTTTACTTCTTTACATGACTTAATCGATAAATTTAGGGCATATTCATGTGAATCAAAACAAAATTTAGTTTTCTCTTTTAAACAAGATGTAAGAATTTTGCATCCATCTTGAGATGATTTAAACATATAATTTGACTGCTTTGTTGGGTCTATTATTCCTATTCCTCCCTTTTTTACTGGTAAATGTAGAATCTCACATTCCTCATTGCTTACTTCTGAACAAAATAGATTTGGAAAAAAAGATTGTAATTTGTCTTAATACATATTTGTTGGATGTTTTTCAGCCTTATGTAATTATCATAATTAATTCAGCTAACTCCTTATACACGACCTAAAATAATGTAACACCAGAATAATAGATTTAAATTTTAATTTGGGTTGTTGGTTTTAAAACCGCCGATGGAGCGATACCGTAAATGAATTCAATAAATACTACCTATATTTTTTTAAGTTTAAACCAAGCAAGAATTTAAACTTAAGAGTTTTTGGAAACGTAATTAATGTATTTTAGGTCCAAAACTTATTTTTTTTTTCATTTAGTAATTTAAAAATAGTGTTGTATAATTTGTGCTAGCTGCATGAAAAAACATTTTTACACGGGACGACAAAACGTTGATCTTGTTGCTATATAGCTTTGATCTGAGATTGGAATGACTAATTAATTGATTAACAGTCCATTTATGAAATGGCAACAATGCCCAGAATCTATCCTCAGCATCAAACCAGCAATCTTCTTAATTAAAGGCTAACCCTTCCCAATAATTTATACTACCAATTAGTTGTTAAATAATTGTAAAAATCTTTCGACTTGGATCAGATTGAATGAATTAAACACTTTTTGTCTTGGAATAACAGTTACACCCAGTAAAATAATTCTGATTAACCTTAAACAATCGTTATGAACGTAATATAAGTTTTGTATTTGGAGGTGTTTAACGATTACTTGTAATTTGTCTTAATACATATTTGTTGGATGTTTTTCAGCCTTATGTAATTATCATAATTAATTCAGCTAACTCCTTATACACGACCTAAAATAATGTAACACCAGATACTAGAGCAGAAGCTGAATTGTCTAAACAAATTCATTCTTTTTCTCAAAAAACCGCTAAGTATAATGTGTAGGGTCTAAATGAAAATATTTCTCAACAGTTTCAAAATGTATATAATGACACTTATTGAAAAACAAAACTAAACTACTAATGTTATTCGAATAACTTGGGGATAAAGAGGCACTTGTTACATCTGACAGAAACTTTGCAAAGTTTGTCAAGTGCAGTCAGGTTCTTTGCTCACTAGTGATTACACAATAAATTTACTTCATAAATGAACACAAAAATATAAAACATAATAACACGATACTTTCTAATAGTTCTTGAATTTAACTTACTCTACATAATGAAAACCGCTCAAATTTCAATAATATTTTATTTTAATTTATCTTGGTTTACCGAAACATTCATGAGTGTTTCCTTTAAATCTATTGATGCACTATAATCACTTTTACAAAGCCATCTTTTATGAATTGGACCAACAACAAGGGTCATATTTAACTATCAAAAATGTTCAAAAGCCTAAAAATAGTAATACAGCACTCATGATTTGCAAGTTTTTACAGTGTCAGTGTTAATAACTTGTTTTCATATGTCATCCGGCCACCCCCATATGATCAAGTCATTAGGTAAAAAATATGGGAATATTTGGTAGATCTAAAGTGTGCAGAAATCAGCTGTTTGCCTCATCCAACTAGTGCAAATGGCCATTTGTTAGGTAATTCGGTACGAATAATTTTAAATTTTTTGCTACAGATACAGAATAGCACGAGTTCCAAGTCGGCCTGTCACCCCTTGTGCATCGGTGACTGTATGGATCCTGGACCCAAGGGTTGTTATACTTGCAGGAAGTTCCTCACAGCTGACAACGAGTGTGTCCAGGATTGCCCAGCTGGAACGTATGTACGGCTTTGTTAATATTTTATGATATAGCATCTAGCATTATCATAGCCTCCTACAATACTAGGCCGCGGTATATTGTCACAGTAATAATGTACCGTAAACAAAAACCTTTTGGAGAAGCTCCATTATGAATTATTAGTGCAACAGCTGTTTCAGTAGGTCGGGGATGCGGCCTGGCCACTTTTGTCTCGTCGCAGCCTTGTATTAGAGGAGGGTATGATATTATATATCTAGCATTATAAATATCGTGGTTATCATAATTAAGACATTGTTTATGTTCCATCAATAAATGATACTATTAAAACTAAAATAAATATATAAATTAAAACTGTATGTAAACATACCATAGTGTCAAGAAACCTTTACAGACAATTTTAAAACCTCTGACTAAAATTTCCCTTCATGCATTTCAGGTACGAATATGTGAACCGGAGATGCATAACAGAAGAGGAGTGCTTCAACGCAACTAGACAGCAGAAGAAATCTCTGTATGACAAGCAGTTTGTCCCTTTCGTCATCTTCAACGGGACTTGCACTGACCACTGCCCGGCTGGGTACCAGCTGGATGACGAGGCAAGAAGTTGCATTCCCTGCCGAGGGAAATGTAACAAGACTTGTCAAGGTGGCAGCATTGACAACATAGCAGCAGCTCAAAAACTAAGAGGCTGCACACTCATTGCTGGCTCTATAGAGATCAACATTCGCTCAGGCAAACCGAAGATCATTGCCCAAGAACTAGAAGAGAACCTGGGAGATATCCAAGAGATCACAGGGTTCTTGAAAATCGTCCGTTCCTCGCCCATTGTGAATCTCCACTTTCTAAAGAACCTCATGACTATTCGCGGTGAACACGAAGAGAACTACGCCATGCTCGTCCTAGAAAACCAAAACCTCCAGGAATTGTGGGATTGGGACACAAAGCCCAACTTTAAAATACTTAAAAACAGACTTTTCTTTCATTATAACCCCAAATTGTGTTTACATCACATTATGAAACTTATTGACATTGTGCATCAGACAAATGTAACGGATGTTGAAGTTTCAAAAGAATCGAATGGTTACAAGTTTCCTTGTAATGCTGCAACCATAGTTTTATCGGTTAGATACAAGTCTTCAAACACTATTCAAATCCACATTCCTACTCTCGAGGTTCATTCGGAACATTCCTTTCTTCGGTATGTGATTTATTACACAAAAGATCCTGGGAAGAATATTTCAAAGTTTGATGATCTCGACCAATGCTCAGATTATGGATGGATGTCAAAAGATATATCTATAAACACTAGAGAACATCCTTCGCTGTTGGTGAACTTGACCAACTTGGAACCTTACACTCAATATTCTTTCTATGTCACTGCATTCACAGTTGACAAAATTGTGGCTACCAGTGAAATCCAAACTGACAGAACTGATGCATCAAAACCATCAGAGTTACTCTCTGTAAATGTAATTGCCAAATCGAGTTCTGAAATTTTTGTATCGTGGAAGCCTCCGAGACAGGTGAACGGAAAACTTGAAAAATTCATAATTACGTGGTCTGCATTAGAGAGAGATGATTCACTTTTGAAGCTTCGTGATTATTGTAAGAATCCAATGACTTACATAACCAATCTTTCACCATTAAAACCTGAGGTCACTAACAGAACAGCCACTAGAAACAATACTTGTTGTATAAAAGAAAAAGAAATTCCAAAAGATGGATACGATCAACTGTGCTCAAAAAGCCACTATTACATGGTTCCATCTGCAGTGAGTGATATTGAACCTAGAATGTCTTGTGAGGCATATTTCAACAATTATTTAAGAACCACTGAACTCATCGTTAAAGATGATATACGGGAAAGAAGACCAGACACTTCAATATCGTCGAAGCTTAGAGAAGTGTCTGAAATTGTGTATCTTAATGATAAACTCAACGTAAATAAAATAAGCTTAACCCCAAACAAAGAAGTCAAACCTAATACCGTGCAATTGTCTGCTGTAGAGAGGAATTTTACAATCATTGGCTTAAAGAATTATCAAGACTACATCGTTACAATTGAGGCTTGCCGAGAAAAGGATTATGCACTTCCAAGTGATGTGAATGATGGTAACACATGTAGTAAGAGGGATATTGTTGTAGTACGGACTGAGCAAGACAAAAAGGCTGATATTATTTCTAACGGGATCGCACATGAGGTTGTAAACAGGACGTTACATGTTACTTGGAGTTCTCCTTCCCATCCGAATGGTTTGATTGTTGCATATGAGTTAGAGTATAAACAGAAAGATGTAATTTATTCAAAATCAGTTTCGTATTGTATTTCCTACATGGAATACAAACTTAATAAACATAGCTATATGGTCGTAGATTTACTTCCTGGAAATTACGAGTTTAGAATTCGAGCAATCTCACTTGCAGGAAGAGGACCATTTACAGCATTTAGAAGTTTTACAGTCCCAAGACCATTCACAGTTCCTGAATACTCCATAGCATTAGCACTTACTGTTTTCACAATGTTTGTAGTAATAATAGTGATGCTAACATTACAGTTTTTTAAGAACAAGAAACCTAACCTAGACTTACTAATAGCTAATGTTAATCCTGACTACGCAAGTATCCTAGACCAATGGGAGGTGTCAAAAGAAGACCTAGTTTTAGTAAAAGAAATCGGTTCTGGAACCTTTGGAAAAGTATTTGAAGGTCGTTTACAACCGAACAACAAACCTTGTGCGGTGAAAACTGTGAATGAGAACACTTTCGCCTATGACAGAAAACTTTTCCTCAACGAAGCCTCAATAATGAAGTCTGTATCCGGAACGTACCACATAGTTCAACTTTTAGGTGTCGTCTCAAGAGAAAAGCCCCCTTTGGTCATCATGGAGCTCATGAACGGAGGTGATTTAAGATCATTCTTGATATCTTCAAGATCTGAAGATCCTCCAAATGACATTGCAAAGTTTAAAATCGCGGCTCAGGTTGCAGACGGTATGTGCTTCATGGAGGCGAAGAAATTTGTCCATCGTGACCTTGCAGCAAGGAATTGTCTCGTCAATAGAGTGGGGGAAGGAGGTTTGGTGGTGAAGATCGGAGACTTTGGGATGACTCGTGATGTCTACGAGACAGACTACTACAGGAAAGGAGACAAGGGTCTGTTGCCCATCAGATGGATGGCACCTGAGAGTTTGAAGGATGGATTATTTACCAGTCACTCAGATGTGTGGAGTTATGGTGTTGTCCTTTGGGAAATAGTGACATTAGGGGAACAACCGTACCAAGGATCTAGCAATGAGACAGTTCTACGGGAAGTCATGGCTGGACGTTTGAGGCTTCAGATCCCTTCCTACTGTCCTGACCCACTCAAGAACATTATGAGAGCGTGCTGGAGAATCAGATCTGCTCACAGGATAAACTTCATGAGAACAGTCGGGTCTTTAGAGTGCTTCGTGGATGAAGAGTTCAAAATGGTTTCTTATTACCACAGCGACGAAGCCACAAACACGAGACAAACGATGCCAGACTACGTAGAAATGTTTTCCGTGGAGGATCCATTGCTTTCAGAAGAAGAAGAGCCATATGAAATGAACGGTATTACGATGAACGGTGGAATAACATTACTAATGAATAAACACAATGGCAGGTTTCCTCTACAATTTAATTCTGTTGAAGATCTTGATTCATTGGAGGAGGTGTAGTGAGTATTGTTACGACCAGTATTTGTATTTTTACTTTTATGTACTTCATAGCTATTTGTACACAATGTAAACAATGTTCCTTGTAAATCAGTACATGTATATAAACACAAAAAACCTACGTTCCTAAATGTAAAAACTTATTTTAATTTTATTGAGCGGTTTTTACTTATTTTGTTTATACCAAAGCAACACAAGTATATGAGTTATGTTTGTAAATTTGGATTTTTGTACATATTAACTTCCTTTTTAGTTCAGTAGTCATCTATCTCTGAGTTTGATCATGCATAAGATTTCTGTGAGGTACCTACCTTTGTGTTCTCTGAGAGGAAAGCCCAAAGATACTTTTTAATGCTTTGAATTATTTGATCTGAAATGGCAACCATAGGAAGCAAGGCAATTTAAGCCAAGTGTGAATGGAGAAGTGTGTAGGATGAGATAAAATAATTATTATTTCATCTTTACCATCACTCTCTAATACTTGTGTTATTTAACAAATAAAAAATATTTGCTTGCTAAAATAATTTAAAGTAAAACTCAACAATACCCCTCAGTAAGTGGTTGATTGCAATTGTTATTTTGTAGTTTTTTTTTACAGTCAACAGATAAAACAATGAATATTTTAAAATAATGAGTTTAGCTTAGAAAATACACGAACAAAATATAAAAAAATACATACTTCATAAGTTAAAAGCCAACCAATTGCATTCTTATGAAATGGCTGCTATGGTCTCTATATTAAATGTAAATGTAATGATTTAAATAGAAAAAATATTTTCTTATTCTTGAATGTAAATAAACTATTCATATTGTGTTAACAGTGTGCCTTTCTACTGTACAACATTTGTACTAAGGGTAAAACAATTATCTGTTTAACATTTTGATCTTTTGTAAATTTTATTCTCCATAGCATAGTTTTAATTTTATAAAGCTATAGCTTTTAGCTGCTAGTTTGTTTTACACTTATAATGATAAAATTATATTGTAAAAAATATAGTTTTATATCAAATTTAAAAAAAGTATTACTATCCTTGTAAACTACGATTTTGAAAATATTATTTCCCCGTGAATACCAATTGAAGAACTTTAACTCAAATTGATCAAATGAGTAGGAATTTGCTTATTTAACTTGTTTTTATTAGGAGTTTTTTTTATGGAGTTTACACATAACACAATACCGGTGCGAGATTGATATTTTCATTTAACTTTTTACTGGTAGTACTGTATACAATAATAGTTTTAGCGAATTTCCCATATATTAGCAAATTTCCCATATATTAGCAAATTTCCCATATAGGGAATAAGCTATTACCGTAGGTCTCATGGTAAGACCTGGACCCGGGACCGATTTAGTTTTTCGTTTTGAGGTCCCCAGAGGCCAAAAACACCATCCGTTCAAATTCATATATATATATATATATATTTATATATGTGTCCGTTAGCGCGATAACTCGAGCAAAACGGATCCGATTTTGATGAAATTTGGTATAAACGTGTAAACCTACATTTATTCGAACGAGTTCGCGAACCAGCATGATCGGACTATGGGAACAGGGGTTTATGGGGGGTTTTATGGGGTAAAAATGGGTTTTCTAATTTTTCACCCTGAAAACATACAATTTTGCAATTTCTTTCTAAACCATTTTGTAGAACTTAAAAAAACAAATAATTTAGTATATTGAAGCATTGTTGCATGAATAACGGTTACGGAAAAATCGCAAAATAATGTAAATTTAAAATTACCATGTTATTCTTATGCAGAATAAATACAGTGTTGTACCTTGCTTGTGTATGGACATATATTAATGAAATTTTGAAATTTTGTTTACTTCATACTGAGCTATTAATATTTCAATAAAACCCCCCTATACACTGAAGAAATTCCCTGTAGCAGCAAACCTAAGTACTCATTAGTATTAATGATGTTTAAATAAATCTGACAATTTTAAGGGAACAATTTAGTGGAATTCCAGCTGTGTATATGGAAATTCGCTTAGTCTGCAGGTTTGCTGCGGCGGGGGTATTTTTTTTCTGGTATAGATATTTTTAGATCAGTTTCTATTATATATTCAGTTATTTGAGAAATAGGTAAAAATATCACTTGTATTTTTAATTTCAAAATATGTATTTCACGAATGCTTGTTTATTTTCAAATACTTTTACCATTTGTATTTTATTTAACACAAAATTATTGTTCTAAGCTTCAAATTGTAAACTCTTCCTCATAATCAATTAAAATTTAACGTTTATGGTTTGTTGGCATATTTTTGTTCTAAGTATCCTATTGAAAAATATATTTTGTTAGATTTCCCCCCTACATACTTCTCGATTAGATTTATTGGTAGAAGGTTTATTTGTTGTTTTTTATATCGCAAGCTTATGTAAGACCTACGTTTTGCTTACCCTTTAAATGCTGATAAAAAATTATTGTTTTATAAATCCTCAAAATAATTTTCTCGTATTTAGAGGAAAATATATTAACTTCAAACTCATGCTCCAAGGTGGTTTGTTAAATCCTTTATGATTGTGCTTACACAAAAATACTGGCCCTGACAGTTTTAAGTTCTTGTATAAAAATTTTAAATTTCATGTATAACAGGATAGCATTTATATTTATCCTGGTAATTAATTTTTATGAATAGTTTTAAATGTTTTGGAGAATCGGTCAAAAAATTTAGTCAGTGTTGGATGTTTCAGTGTGTCATAAATATTGTATAAGTGTGCCACACTGTTCTTCTCAGTGTCTTTTGATATTTAATTCCACTCTTCAGGTCCTTGTGAAGATTATGAATAATAATTATGTTCATATCACATCACTAATATGTTTTATTCATATTGTTCTAATTCAGTTTGGCGCTGATAACTTGAAAGTGTAAAAAAGAAAGCAGGGCAGTGAAATTTAAGCTCTGGTGCAAAAATTGCAAATAAAAAAGCACTTGGACTGATTACACCATTGTATTGTTTCCTTTTGTTTTTAAATTGTGATTTCCATCTTCCAATTATTTTAAGCTTTTGATCCATCCCTCTTAAGACTATTTATAAAGAGGAAAATAAATAAAGCATAGGAAATATTATATTGTTATATCTAATTTTTGTGTTGCGAGGATTTGAAGCTTTTGCGTTTTGTGTAACTGTTGTTAGTGTTGGCTTATTATTGTTACCATTTATTGTATTCCTCATAATACACACTGTGTAAGGTGCCAAATGTGTACAAGTAATTTGTTATATATTTTTCTATGTTTTCATAAATAAACATAAAACTTGACAACAGTTTTTTTTTACTTCCTACACTTTCTAATTTAAAAATCATTAGTAAAAGCATTAACAGCATAAAGTAATACATTTGAAGGCTGGATTTCTGAAAATGCATTACCGTTGAGTATTGGATCAATAGTCAATGGTATTACTTAAGAGAAACTTAAGTACTTAAATGACAAACAGTTTTCTTCTTCCACCTCTTTCAAGGTTTGTTTACCGCCAAAAATAATCTATATTAACAATACTAATACTGAATATGTTTTGCAGTTTAACTATGAATAATTTTGTATTCGTTAAAGACAACAGGTTTTCTAGATTTGTTAGCACAATATAAACAAGGACACACAATAACTTTTTTTATAAATACAATTCCCATACAAACTTACAATTAAATAATAAGTCCCCAATATAGATGCTTGTTGCTTGTACATTTTTCTGAACACATGTAAGATTGTAAATAATTTTTAGTTATGTCGCTCCGTAAAATAGCCATGGTAAAGTTATTGGCACACATTTATTCACTTGTGCGACAGTGAATGTTTGCATAAGTGTGTCTGTGTGGTGTGGTGGTGGTTATAAATTGTCTACACATTGATCAGTGATAACACAATGATGTCACAAGGTCGATCACTGTAGTTGTGATTATGTTTGTCAGAAGCACATCAGTGCCTGCTTCCTTAATTGTTACAACTGAATTGAAAATTTTAATGGAAAAAAGATACCCCCATTGCAGCAAACCTGCACAATGAGCGATTTTCTATTTGCCTAAATGGATTTCCCCAAAAAGGACAGATTCATTCCCTATTAAAATATTAAATAACATGAGATTTATAGGGGTAATAATCTGACATATTTTAAAGTTGAAATTGTAGTGAACGGGCAAATGGAAGTTCGTTTAGTCTGCAGGTTTTCTGCGGAAGGGTATTTTGGTTTTGGGGAGGAACGACTCGTAAAATTGTTATTCAATTCAATTTTTATCACAATGTGTAAATGATATATTAAACTGCGATTTTGTCTCTATATATGGTTGTCTATTAGTTATTAATTGGCTATTTTTTTTGTTATTCTTGGCTAATGATAGTAAATTGGAAACCAGTCATTAACACCAACCAGTTTCAATGCACCACAATTAGAATGCTACGATTTACAAGTACTGTATCTACTCTGTAATCTGGTTCCAGCTCTCCCATAAACATCAATCACTGTAATGAATGGGACTAATGGTCTTTAGCCCAGGCTCTATATTATTCTCTACTGTATCAAACTGACATATTTACTGAAACATTATATGATATTCTTTTTGCAAATTTTCCATATTGTGAATAATATATTGCCACAGGTCTCACCAAAGGTACTAGACCCATGATAGATTTTTATTAAGATGTAAAAAAAAGCTCAAATAAAAATAATAGTTTTTCCAACGTTTATTTTAGTGATTTCGCGAACCAGCATTATCAGACCATGGGAATGGGGCTTTAATAGTATACAAATGAGAATCCCTCATGTTTCACACACAAAATATAAAATTTTGCAATTTCTTTCAAATCGATTTTGTTAAAAAAAAGATCTACATTGAAGAATGTGTACAAAAAAACGGCTTATTGTTAACGGATAAAATGGAAAAAACTCCTAAATTTAAAATTCCTATGTTTTGTTTACAGAGAATATGTAAATTGTTGAAGTTTGTTTCAAGTCTCATTTATTAAAATTTATTTAAAACTTAAACAAACCAATATAAAAATCAATAGTTACAATAGAATAAAAGATTTTAAACGATGCAGTATAAAAACGAACAAGTTTCGATATTTATCGTTATTCATCCGATAATATATTGTAGGTTCTCTGCGGAAGTCTACCCCTTATTATGTAGCAGGGGAAATAAATTCATATTTAACCAACAGAGAGACTCTTGAATTTGTAAACTGAGTAGAAGCATTTTGGGGACTAAACTAACCAATTGAGTGCAAATGTATCAACTAGATCACTAGATACATATCTGTCGTGCGATTGGTGTCAGCGATATTCATAGAGAGCTCTGGTTGTATCTTTATCCTATAATCCAACTTTTTACTAGATATATTATGTGTATTTACACAGTTATTATTTTAATAGTTTCGCAAACATTATGCACGAACAATATTCAAGAGTTCAGTAATCATTGTCCTCTATGTACTCTAAGATAACACTTATATTTGGGGTTGTGGGAATATTTTGAAGTTAAAGCAAGTAATAGTTTCAAGTTTCGGAACTACAACGAATTCCCTTTTGTGATAGGCCTATCAATTAGCAATTAATTACTCTAATTACCCTACTACTGGTGATTGTTTTTCTGATGTTATTGGCTTACCAAAGGTGGCACGGTAAGATCCGGGGCAGATTTACTTTTCCATTTTGTTAAACTCTCTCGCCAGTGGCCAAAAATACTATTCGTTGAAAATTTGGTATAAACCATGTATATATATATATATATTTTTATCATATATTTCTACATAATTTTTTTTTTTTATTTTGGCGAATAGAACTACTATGATATTAAGATCATAAATGAAAGACAACTGTTCATCTTGAAATTAAAATACTATCTTGAAGTTAAATTATGTGTCGAGTCTATTTATAAAATTTAAATTGAAGTTTAAAGGCCACGGAGAAATTTTTAACTTAAAATGTCTACGTTATTCTTATAGACAAAGTAAACTGATGTTGTAGTTTTCTTGTTATTTGTAAATTAATTTTTAAAAATTTGGCAAATATATTAATTTCTACTAAACTATTGACATTTTAATAAAAAAATAACTTTATTACCTTCCCTGTAGCAGCGAACCTAAGTACTCATTAAACCAAAAAATGTGGGAAAGTTATAGAGAAAATCAAATCAAGCAAATGGAAATTCACTTTGTCAACAGGTTTTTAGCGGCGGGAGAACAACGTAGGCGTCGCTGATCTCAATACTACCTATTCAATATTCTGCACTTAATTTTAACTATGAAATTTAGGTCAGTGGTTGTCTTTTATTAAACCTTCATAGCTTTTTAAGACTTTTATTAATTTATCGCATGATTAAATTCCTGTTAGATATGCAGTATAAAAACGCACTAGCCCCATTGTTGGAGAAAGCTATTATTGAAAGTGTTTAATGAACACATTTAAAGGTTTCATCATGCAAATAAAGTTTTTAAATTAATCGTGTCAATGATATTACATATAGCTTCAATAATACATATAACGTTGTAGCCCGTAGACTAGTAAAAATAAAAACTATAATAAAATAAAAGTTGTACTAGTTTTGTAAAAACATAATTCAAAATAAAAATACTGCAGTGTGACATCTAAAAGCACGTCCACACCATGTAGCACAGAGTATAGTCTTGAAAAAGGAATATTATGAGAAAATGAGGTTACATCACTATACACTTCACTTACACAAATTATTTGGGCTCAGTCTCAGTCTCTAATTATTGTCTCCACTCTCCACATTCTTAAGAAAACAATATAATTATCACAAAAACATAAATATGAAAACGAAAACTTAACTTATGGTGCAGCAAACATTTACCGTATAACTCTATTTCTCTGTCTTTAAAATGAAATGATGGTTGTAACAATTTATAAATTTTACTGCCTTTACTTTTGTAACTGTAATCACTCCTGCTTTAATATCCCTAGTTTCTTCCACTGCAGTGTAGGTCAATCTGTTCAAAGTCTATTCTTTTATCACTTCACTTTCAAAAATATTGTCACACTTTGCAATCTTTGTTGGGCTGGTTGGTGATGGCATCTCCCCTTTCCCCATCCCTAATCCCTATTCCTATCCCTAACCTAATATGGTGAATTAACGGGAAATAAGCCATGATATGATGTAAATAGTGTATATAATTATAAGTCTAAAGTTATCTCAATGTAGGTAAATTTTTGATCTGGATAACATTACAAATTTTTATTCACCTAAATTTCCCCATAGTAGTATTTTAACCAGTAAATAATTTAAAATCGATTGAGGCGTCAAGATAAACCTTTGTTTTTTAGTGTGTGAACCACATACAAACAGCTGAAGCTACAGCGATGAGACGAAACGAAAGTGTAGTTGAAAGCTTCAAAGACAAATTTTTGTGCCCTAATAAATGAATAGATTTTAAAACTTTATTTCAACTAGTTGGAGATAAATAACAGAGGACATTATTGAAAACATTCAAAACAGTCCTCATGTATCAATTACCTTTTTCTTAACATTTGGTTAACTTTATCATGATTTCAAAATCATTAGGCCTATTCAAATACTAAACTAGTGCCAAAGAAACCCTTTGATTCTTAGAAAGAGAAAACGAAAAGGTGAACAAAGTCCGCCTCTGAAGTGAAAGGCGAGTTGGGCCCATCTTGATAAAGTTTTTTGAAAATCGAGTAACAGCTTGATTCCCCAAGAATGTTTCTTAAAGGGCCCTATTACACTAGGTCACCAGGCGACGTCACCGGTGGCGTCACCGGTGACCTGACTGGTTGGTGGGCAATGGTTCTTAGGGTGTAATAGAAGCATCGGGTCCACCCAACGAACAGTGAAGGAGCGGAAGTGCCGCAAGCTTGTGCTATATTATGATGATTGACTTTGTTTCTTGCGAGACTCAACTATTTCATCCAATTAATATTCCTAGGTAGAAATATGTCCAATTGTATGCAACTTCATTATTTGTTCTTTATTTTACACATACACAAGCTCTTAAATAATTCTTTCTGATGTTCGCATAATTTTAACACCTGTTTACTGTATTAAAAGCAACGTCTAATTTAAAATCTACGTTGCCGACAGATTAGTTGAGCGAGTATATACGATAGGTGGCAGAGTAACACGGTATAAAATTGTAGAGTTCATATTAACATAGTTGTTTTTAGCCAACACGACAAATATTTCCGTTTCAACTCAATCCTCGCCGACATCGCTGTCTTCTGCATCTGGGGGACAGAACGCAAAAGGCTGTTAACAGTAATCATGTCAAATTTGGATAGTATAAGTCGTTATTTTTGATCTCCCATAAAAATCACTGTAAAATAAGTGGCCTCCGCCCACACAGCACAGAATATCCACAGGATATCCCACACAGTTCCCAAACGTCCCAAAAAATGCCATGGGATATAGGAATATCCCTAGGATATTCCTGGGGTATGCCCATTTCAGTTAGTAATTAATTTAAACTTTTTTAGGGTTTTTGATCAATGGACGGTAATATCATTGGCATATCCCTAGAATATCCACGATATCCTTTTTTCATAATTTGTAAAATCCACTAAGAATTTAAGTATTTCTCAAGATATGCTACAGAATACTGCTTTAAAGGTAATGTTTATAATGTTTTTTTTTTCAAACGATAATGTTTCTTACTTAATTACTTAGTTGTACTTAGTAGTATTTAATTACTTAATTGCTGTAAATATATTCGTTCTTATGCTGAGAAGATCCGTGGAAGATCCCTGAGAAATCCCCGGGACCACCCCACACAGCACAGGATATTCCTAGGATATCCTGACCAGTTCACACATATCCCACAGACATTCCTGGATTTGAGAATGTCCCTAGGATCACTGTAGGATATTGCACATATCCCACACAAACAAATGCATTTTGGGTATTTCCTTTGGGACTTCCTATAAATATTCTCGGTACCGGTATGCTACATTAAAACTTATTTTAAGGCATTGGATGTATTTTTTAAGGTGATAAGTGCTTGAGAAACGTAAAAAAGGATTTCAATATTATTTTGAATTAACAATAACGCTAATGATTTATAAACATTTATTAAGTTTTCCGATCATATCCATAAGATATCCTTTGGATATCTGTAGGAATTCCCCGTCGGACAAAGCTCCGCAGAATAATTATCCAACTTAAATTATTCACCTTTTTATAATATACCTGCTTTAAATTGGTAATACTAATAATACTCGTACTAATAATAATAATGCAAATATATTTTTTAAATTAAGATTCTTTAACTTCTTTGAGAAAATTTTATTAGTTGAACAATTTAAGGGGAAATATTAATTAATTATAACAATTATAGTAACATTACTAATGGTATTCTATTAATCTATTTAAATACCAGTATCTTATCCAACTCCCAGAAAAAAATTCAACAAACTTGATTCCTAAACAGAATCAGTATCAAAAATATTTATTTGCGACCATTGCAGCTGTCGGCTCCTCTTTAACCGCTTAAAACTCATAATATCATCAACGATCACAGATAGCTCAGAGGTGGTAAGATTAGAGGTTCAAATAAGCTTAAGGTCTCAGGTTCAAGACCCGTCTGAGGATTTTTTTTTTTCAAAATTTGTTTTCATGAACTTTTAGTAAAATGGAAATACTCCACTGATAATTATTGTGCTTTCAGACTTGTGATAATTGTGCTTTATTATTTTGTGTTTTTATGTTTGATATCCTGATGGGATATCCCAGGGATCAAGATTTGGGATGACATAGGGATATCCCAGAGCCAGGAAGTTCCCCAGGAAAACTTTGAGGGATTCACAGAGTTTTAATAGGATTGTCATAGCTGTCATAGTATATTGTCATAGTCCAGTGACCAATCTTTCGTAAATACAATACACGAATAACATTAGCTCATCGATCTCTATTATTACTATTAGCTGTTTCCAAACAAAACAGCTGTTACAACACCACTTGCGACGTTGCCACTTCGAAGGAACAAGGAAGCGGCCTGGAGTTAAAGGTGGTGGTGCTTCAAGCGAGAAGACTCCAACCACGGCCGCCTTAACTCCAGGCCGCGGCCTTCGAAAAGACAACGTCGCAATTAAGTGGTGTTGTAACAGCTGTTTTGTTAGGAAGCAGAATGGTATTTGTGTATTTACAAAAGATTGGTTACTGGACTATGACAACATTGACTCCGCTTAACATTTACAGATATAGATTTTTAATTCATATTGTTTCGGTTTTCAATTCTGTGTGTTTTATTTTCAATATTTTAATAAAATTATGTTCATCAATTTAAATTTAAATCAATAGAGTGCAAATTAATGAGCTGATGTCACCTTTCTGTCATGTTATCTTATGTCACTAAACAACACCACTTGCGATGTTGCCAATTCTACCAGGCCACGGCCTGTTGTAGTAAAAGGTGGCCGTGCTCCAACCCAACCCTTCTCACAACTATCCCATCAAGGCCTTAGAATCCTACTAAATCCGATCTATTAACAGGACACGACAAAAAACTAAAACCAAAATGAAATAAGCCACCAAACTAAAACAAAACCTTGAACAATACTAACATAAAAACTTACCAAATAAACTAGAAAACCACGGAATCGTCAAATTAATTAGTGCACAACGAGGCTGCATATAAATAATATTAAACAAGATAAAAAAAATTCTACGCTAATTCCATACACCAGCTGAGCAGAGCAGAATGTCGTCTGGTCGTCGTCTGCTGGGGATTTTGGTTGGCGTTGCGTTGGCTGCTTAGTGCACTGCGTAGCTGCTGGCGCTGGCTGGGTAGCTGCATAGACAAAAAGAATTAAATATAGACCGTCAGCTGTGCTGCGGTTACCGTAGGTTCTGGCGCACACCGCTTGGAGCACCACGGTAGTTACGGCGTACGCGCTACGTAAACTACAGCGGTGTGCGCCGGAACCTATGGTAACCATGGCAACCGCAGCACGGCTGACAGTCTATATTTCATTCTTTTTGTCTATGGTAGCTGCAAGCTGCTTTGCTTTGCTTTGCTGAAGCTCTATTTTCAGTCGCTGTTTTTACGTTGTAGTTGTAGAAGGATTTTTGTTTTTGTTTTGTAGCCGACTTATTGTTTTTGTGTAAGCTACTTTCAAGGAAAGCAAGAAACGTAATTTGAGGCTGAAGAAAGATCCAGACAAGGTCGTTAGTTATTGGCCTTTGTTTTCGTTTCAGTGGTAGGATTGTGAAGTGTGTACCAATTCAATTCAATTAATTTTTTAATTGTAATTCAATCAAAATGATAAAATCCAGAAGTAAACGTGGGCCTTAGTGGTTTTTGTTTGTTACGTAGGCGAAACTCTCTTGGGGTTTAGGTTGTATAGAACTTTCCAACCTAGAAGTATTCATTTGAGGTTAGGAATACACTCAGTGATTTGTCTATAATGGCACCAGATGATCCTGATGTTCTAGGGCTTTGGGAAAGGGATAGAGTTCTTGGAACTGGAGGTTTTGGAATTGTTACCTTATGGAATAACAGAAAAACCGAAGACAAAGTGGGTAAGTAATGACATTGTTTTACTCACAAGAACATTTAGGCCTAAATTACTCAACAGATAATTTACTGCTGTCTCATAGGCTAAATAACACAAACCGGCATGCACGGAGAGCACCTTGTCTTTTTTGGTTTCCGATAGCGAACCAGCAACTAAGTTCTAGCCAACAACAAAACAAAAGTTTCCATTCGTCCAACAATTACATATATCCACATCATCTTTTAAACCATGAATCAACCGGTTCCCTACATTATGTCCGAACGTGACTTACAGACACAATCAGAATGAAAATTAATCAAATATTTGAGCTGCGTCCGCCTTTACTACTCCACTTACTTTGAACTAACATGGAGACAGTTCTAAACAAAAAAAAACTAACAAAGAAACCACCAACCAATCAGAATGCTACACACTGTTTCACCACAACCAGTAGCAATGCAGCAACAGCTCACTGTAGGCCTACCACAATTAGGCCTACTCCTAGTATCCCCGCAATTATAGGTAGCCTACTTGAAATCTCACTGTATTTCCTGCAAATTCCCGGTTTCAATAGGAAAGTATTGTGCATTAAAATTCAACATTCAACATGTAGCTCTTAGGAACTATTAAACATCTAGCGGAAAAATAAGTGTTGATTATAAAATGAAACTGTCCTATAGGCCCTACTAACCAAACTGGCTGTATGATTTCATAAATCGGCTTAAAAAAAGGAAAGGCACGTGGGGAAGGCAGGCCAGACATTATGAAGATTTGGAAACATGTTTGCTTATTGTTGGAACTATCAGTTTGCTTTTTGACAAGTTAGGTAGTTTATTCAACAGAAATCAGAAATATATATTAGAGTAGGCCTACCTACTCTACTGGCGGTTCAATTCAACTATGTCCATTTTCTTTTAAAACTGGTGACAACTTTTATCACGAGGATAGATTTAATAGTTTTATCAAGGTCGCATAGTCCAAGGTAGTATCAAGTAAATTTTATTATTCAATAAATTGCTCTACAGGACAAACGGTAATTTCTAAAAAAAAACTTACCTTCCAGCTATCAAGAAATGTCGGTGGGGTGTAGACAGTCTGATGACGGCCACTCACAGAGAGAGGTGGGCCCGAGAGGTTGACATTATGCAACGTCTGTCTCACTCCAACGTCGTCAGAGCCATCCCTGTTCCCTCAGACCTGCTAGGGCTCGCTTCCGAACTACCGTTGTTGTGTATGGAGTTCTGCTCTGGAGGGGATCTTCGACAGGTTAGGTTATTCAAGTTGAAATACCATATTTCTTTGACTATGAAAATATAGGACTACCATGTGAAGGGTCAAGGTTATTAAAATTTTTGTGAGGATAGCAGGCTTACCTGAATGGGAAAGATGCCAAACTGGCTCAAATGTAAAATGACTTAAAATGCCTGGAGTCCAAAGAGGTCAAATGCTATGACTCTCTCCCATTCAAGCAAGCCTGCTATCCTCAAAACAAATAATATTTTATACTGTAAGGGACTAGGATACCCCCTTACAGATATAGGGGGTATGTGCCCTGTGTTGTGTCATGTACAGGTTGATTTTAATCGGCGTTGCACTGGCAATAGATCAGCAACCACCCCACCTACTGTCCCTTCATTATAAAACTACCGTATATTAAGTTTACACCGGGTTTTTCAAAGTTTAAACTACGTCACATCGAGAACGTTGTGTTGCAGGAGGAGTTAAATGGTATGAAAAAGACTGGCTAAAAGAGATAATTTCTAGTGTAAAATTTTTTTTATCACAATTTTATTTACAATCTGTTCATTTTTTGAATATTTAGCAAATACAATTACAACTATATTAATAAAGCGTTAGTTAGTCTGGCCGATACGGTGATAGCCGTGAAATGGCTTCTGGCTGTTAACAAGGATTGACTACCCTTAACCTAGCTTGATGGCAATTTATTTAATTAAGAGGTTTTTACAAAACTATTCCCAATTTTTAATGCTGGAAATCCATTGCTGGCTATTAACTCATAACTCCCTTTCAAATTTAAGTAGCTCATTAAATAGCCTAACAAACATTAGACATAGCTATCAACAAGAATTTACAAACTTAGACCCAGGTGAATGGGGCGATGGGGGTTTCTTTAATTTTGAAGCCTTGACTGTTGATGTTATTGATTAGGCTACTTAATTGTGCATATCCATTGCTAGTGATAATATAACACTGCATCAAATTTTGCTGTTATTAGTCACAGTCTACAATGAATAAACATTACGGAACCCAGCTCAAATCATTCATAATATACTTATTGACATCGTATTAAATTGAACACAAAATATTGTATTGGCTTTGGAGTTAGTATTGTTCTCATTTCCTCTTTATTAGACATTTTATATATTATCTAATTTTTTTTGGTAATTAAGAGCAATCAATTACAATTAAATGAGGCTAAAGTATAGTCTACTACTATAACCAGTACAGTAAAAGTAAACAATAAGTACATTGCACAAGTAAACAAAATTTCAGTTTTAACATAAGGTCAACTTGTGTTTTAGTCAAGCTAGCCTATTTAGTTTTAGCTGTCACAACTATTATATAGGTAGGTTGTTCACAAATATTATTCTGACAACACAATAAATAAAGCCAAAGTATTGTAGAAGTTTACCAGTTCATCTTTTACAATGATTACGATCTAGATCCTGAATAAACCTGAGAACTGCTGTGGACTGAGAGAGCCAGAGGTTCGATGTCTTCTCAGTGACATAAAGTCTGCCGTACAATATCTTCACTCTCAACGCATCACTCACCGAGATCTCAAACCTGAGAATATTGTGCTTCAGGAAAAACCCAACTCCCCGGTGAGTTTTGAACTTCTCCTGAAATGTTCTTGATCCTTCATTAATAGTAAGTTTTGAACTATGAGAAATCCTCCTGAAGAAAACTTGCATACCCTTGGTTGTTTATTGTTAAAAAAGTATACTATTAATGAGTTAAGTTGTTATTAATGAAATACACTGTTATTCAGTAAAACTTATTGCTCAGGTGTTTTCAATACCGGTATTCTATGTTTTTGCCATTATATATGCCACTTTATATGATTTATTCAAGAATGGAGTATGTTTTAAATTAAGCAACACATACAGTGGTTTTTAGCTAGCTTAGTGGTTAGCATATTGGACTTCGCGTGAAATTTCGAACATTTTGGAAAACAAAATTTTTAATTTCGCGTGAGGTCCGGAGGTCGATATAATTACCCCAGATCCAATCCCTGATAAACTGAATCGTTTGCACTGCTTCATTTATGAAATATGTATTTCTATATGCTTCTGGCACACAGAAAACACATTACAGTATCACTTGTAGTCTAAGTAAAAAGCAAAATGATTCTATACTCATACATGATGTTATTTACTCGGCCCACCTCACAAACTGTGAACTATAAATTTTGACTTTTTAACCAAGAAAATCTTTGAAAATTCTTTGAAATTTTCCTGCCTATTTTAAAATAAGGTAAAATAGATCATTTTGATCTAATTATCTTCACATCTCATAACTTTTTCTCTGTTATTCAGATGATTTACAAGCTGATTGACCTGGGTTATGCCAAGGAGTTAGACAACAGCAGTGTTTGCTGCTCTTTTGTGGGGACTATGCAGTACTTGGCTCCAGAATTCTTCTTGAGCTCAGGGTAATTAAAAATTCCTAACTACAGTATTGGCAGAGTTTAAATTTCTCCAATTAGGTTTGTTAATTTCTCATAATCTTATTTTTATTTGGCTCCAGAATTCTTCTTGAGCTTAGAGTGATTGAAAATAGGCCTACCTAACTATTGGCAGTATTCTGCAAATGTTTCCTATTCTTCTTATAGCATAATAGTAATATTATATAATGTCTTGTCCTAAAAGGTATTTTAGTAGTAATAAAAATAAAATTATTGTTTAACATTTAAGGAACTCCTTGTATAGACTAACTAAAATAATTTCAAGCTTAAAACTAAATAACAGGATTTATAGAATTCAAGTTATTTAAGAAAAAGTTCATATTAATATTTAGAATAAGCCTAAAACATTAAAAAGCTACTCCTACATTGATTCTCTGTTGTATTTCCAGTTACACGTCGTCAGTAGACTATTGGAGTCTGGGATTGGTGTCCCACGAGGCGATCACAGGATTGAGACCTTTCCTGCCAAATTCCACGTCCCCTGTAGATTGGTTAGTAAGAGATGCTAGAAAATAAAAACATTATTAGAGTAAATGTAAAGATTTAGTAGCCAAACGACTATTGCTTTGTACATCTTTGGAAATGTTTAAGTTTGGCTTAGTGATATTGTGAATTTTCCAGAATTATTTTGAAGTTTTTTGTTTCTCTTTTACTTTTTTAGCAAATTTCTCATAAGGAGATAGGCTGTTACCGTAGGTCTCATACCTGGACACGGGAGCGACTTACTTACTTTTATTTTTTTATCTTTATTTTTATTAATCAAATTACATGAGTTAGTTTATCATAACAGAATATATTGTCTGTCAATGGTTAAATCTAAGACTTAAAACTAATGATGTAAGATAAAATCTATGCATCTATTTTAACACCAAACCAACTGAATCTTCCAGAAGTATAATATTTATATTTTTACAGGGCAACAACTAACTTAAGCTAAGGAGCAGATAGGTTTACTCATACTTAATTTTAGCAGTCCTCCAAATAATCTGACAATGAAGAAAATGGTTTTTTTTTCAATGCACCCCGAGGCCAAAACCGCCATCTGTTCAAATTTCATCTGTTTCAAAACACCATGGTTTGCTTGCAAGACATAGGGAGTAGGTACATGAAAGGAATATATACTTACTCCCCTTCGTCTTGCAAGTGACGGTATACAAAATACAGTATATGTGTCTATTAGCAAGCAACCCTACATTCAGTCAAACAAGATTAAGAATCAGCATAAACAGACTATACAAACGGGGTGTTATAGGTTAAAATTTCTTGTTTCTCATTTTGACCCTCAAAATGTACAGTTTCCCAATTTTCCTCTTTACCATTTTGAAGAGCTTAATTTCCCAATTTATCTCTAAACTATTTTGAAGAGCTTAAAAAAACAAATATTGTAGTCTTTTGAAGTGTGTCTATATGGTTATTACAGAGAACATTAAAAAATTGTAAATTTGAAATTCCCATGTTATCCTTATGGAGTTACCGTTGACGTTTGCTTGTTATTATATTTTGATAAAACTTGAAAATTTTTTAAATTTTGAACTAAGTTTTAAGCTACAAAAATTTACAGAAAAAAAAATACATTGTCACCCTTTATTTAAGTAAAGAATAAATTTCACCCATTTAGAATGGAAATGTGCATAGTCTGCAGATTTGCTGGGATGGGGTAAAAGTTTGTTAAACCTGCTTCAAATAAAACTGATGAAATAGATATATTTTAGATTATGTTTAATACTATGTTACAGGATACCAAAGGTTGAGAAAAAGTCACCAAATGATATTTGTGTTTATGAGGAACCCGGAACTAAGGATGTGAAGTATAGTCAACAGCTGTTTGTAGAAAATCATATTTCTAGGTAAGAAGTTGAAACAATATTCATTATTAAAATCAAGTAAAATAACGGTTGTCAAAGTTGCTCTTTGGTTTTATTAAACTAATTGAACTTGGAGGTCAATGATGTTGGCAGTCTAACTAGTATTTGTCGAAAGGTGACTCTTTAGCACTAACCCACTGTAGTCTGGGTTCAAACGATTGCTCGAATAATCAGTACTATGTAGCCTGTAAAAGCAATTTTCAGGAAGTCCTTTTCCCAATTTCCAAAATTCTGCGTTTTTTGCAGCTTAATATTATTTTCCTTGACCACTGGAGACGATGTGATGTCTTCAAATCGTGGAGAATGTTCATGATTTTGCCGTGATTTCAGAAAAAGATGATAATGTTTCCATGACCGCAGGAGACAGTTTTGATGCCGTGAATACAGCTTCTACCTTCTTTACTAACATTTCAATTCAATTAGGCCCTACTGTAACTGAAGTTTTTGAAATTATTCTTGTAAGAGATTTGAATAATTAGAGTTATATTGTATTGAGAACGGTAAATGGTTTCGTAAACAATTGAGAACAGTAGATGATGCAGTACTGCCCGGGCACACCTAGTATCTGACTTTTTTTAAATTCTTTTATTACAAGTTTCAGTTTTGCTCGATTTCGAGCAACGGGTTTTCTAGTATTTTTAATTTTAAGACCCCTTGTAAAGAGGCACTATTAAGAATTACATAATCTTATCCAAGAAATTGTCTTGCGTCACAGCATTCACTTTAGCAAACTGCTTGTCAATTTAAAGAAACTCATTTACTGCCCAATGCAACTTGAGTATCCCATTTGGGTATGTTCTCACAATACAAGCTATGGATGTTTAAATTCAAAAATCCTTGGTGTTGTACACTTATGTTGCAGATGTTTAAGAGAAGAATTAGAGAGGTGGTTACGACTTGCTCTGCAGTGGGACCCCAAGAAAAGAGGACGAACACACGACAACCGACTGGATATATTCAACCTGCTCGATCAGATACTGTGTAAAAAAGTAAATATTCCAGGCCTTCATTTTTAACCTATATGAGCTCAAGCATTGAAATATGGATATTGAAGTTGACATTTCATCAGTTTGGCCAATTTTTAATTAAAATAAAACACCTTGAATAAGTCACTCGCATTGTTTGCTGCTGTCAAAATTTGATTTTTCCTTTTGGTTTTTGGAGCTGCAATACTTTATGTGATATAAAAGATGCATTCAATAAGTGTCCCTTTGACTTTGTTATAAAGTGTACATGGGTGTTCACCAGAAATCAGTGATTGACCGAAGCTCTCTTTGTTGACTAAGTGGATCAAATCAAATCAAATCTTTTTATTGTCTTTTAGCTCTACAAAAGCAATTGACATTGTCAAATGGCATCTTATCATTAAAGTATTAAACATAGTCATAATAAATAACAGGAAGCTTGATCTTAAATAAATTATTTAAAAACTTATATCTAAAACCTCCAAGGACAAGAACTTATCTACAGAGTAAAACATTTTAATTTTAACCATGAATCAAGGACTGTTTTGAATTTTTTTATTGGAATCGTTATTGCAGAAGGGGGCAATTTATTAAAAAATTGTATACTAAGATATTTGTAGCTATTGTGTGTAAGTGTAAGTCTTGTAAGTGGTAAGTTGAGATGATGGCTATTTCTTGTGTAATGTTTATGTATGTCAGATCGGATGCTATACTGGTCTATATTCTCTTTTACGTATAATAAGCAATTTAAAATGTATAAAGATGGAAGGGTTAGGATATTTAGGGCCTTAAAATCTGCTTTGCAATCTTCCCTGGGCATTGTTCCTCTAATGCACCTGACTGCTTTCCTTTGCCATTTGAAAGGCAAATCAATTCAACTACGTAATTTTTTATTCTAAAACTGGCCATAGATGTGGGATAGAAATGTCAACCTTTGCGGTATAACATTCACATCTGGGAAGCTGAGTGGTAAAAGTGCAATAAATCAGTGGGATTTTGATAGTTGAAAATTGCACCCTGATGTCATTGCTCTTTGGACGTTTTATAAATGGTCCTGGCCTGGCTAATGAAACAGCTGATTTTAGTTAGTGTTATGTCAGTTTAATATATAGTTGACTTTTATTCATAAATTGTTCAGTTCTGGTAATTGTTACGTCTAAAAAGTGTATCAGAAATTTTTTTCTCAGTTTCAAGATAAATTTTAATTTTTGCTGGACATTGTTCCAATAAGTTTTTAATCACGTGATTTGACTTTCATTTCCTGTTGAAGATAACGAATGTGTCATCCACTGATTGACTGTAATATATTATTACTGCTCTTAGCTGCACAATACAGCTGTAGTTATTCATGACAACAAGGATCAATTGACGCAACAGGTAAACCCTTAAAAAATTTCACTTATTTTGTTTGAGTGTGAATTGTTTTGTGTTTGTCAATGATCTGTAATTCAACTTTCTATTTACAGATTGTGACTGTGTTTTGTGTCAACATATTGGCTAGTCATAGCTACCTAGTAGACAGTGCTACAGCGGTCTCTACCCTGCAGCTGTGGGTAAGATGCTGAATAAAGACAAATAAATATTATGTTTTTTTTCATTTTACCAGGATAAATTCTTGGCTTTACATTTGTTTGTTGTTTCAATTAACCTATTGTATGTAACATGCATTCAGAAATACCCCCGCCGCAGCAAACCTGCAGACTAAGCGAATTTCCATTAACCTGATTAGATTTACACTAAAATGCCTCCATAAAAATAGCACATTCATTTCCTATGTAAATAGATTAAGTTAAACGAGTACTTAGGTTTGTTGCAACAGGGAGGGTAAACAAAATTTTTTTTTTATAAAATGATAATAGTTTAGTAAGAAATAAAAGTATTTTCCAAAATCGATCAAAATATGTTCATAAACAAGCAAACTACAACAGTTGACTTATTCTCCATAAGAATAACATGAGAATTTTAAAATTACTATTTTTTGAATTTTCTCCGTAACAATTAGGCGTATAATAACGCTTCAATATACTAAATTATTTGTTTTTTTAAGCTCTACAAAATGGTTTAAAAATAAATTGTGAAATTTTATGTTTTTTGGGTCAAAAATGGGAAAAACCTATTTTTACCCCATAAAACCTCCCATAAACCCCCGTTCCCATAGTCCGATCATGCTGGTTCGCGAACTCATTCAAGTTTATCCTGCCTTACACCTTCAAACCAAATTTTATCAAAATCAGACAAAAATTACTCAAGTTATCGTGCGGATGGACACATATATATATATATACTAGCTGTACCCTCGGGCTTTGCCCCGTTTAACTTCATAAGTATTCGCATGGCTCAATCATGTCCTGGTTGAAGTTCGTTCGCTACGCTCACTCACCTTTAGGTTGGAGCTCGTTCGCTACGCTCACTTGCCTTCAGGTTAGCTCGTTCGCTACGCTAACTCGCCTCCAGGTTGAAGTTCGTTCGCTACGCTCACTCACCTTTTGGTTGCAAATTAGCTGTTGTCATAAATTAAAAAAAAAATGATAGTGCTGCACCCTGTTGGTAATCCTTGTAACTTTAATGCTATTGAACATCATAGAATAGAACTAACTTGTTTAATTGAAACAGCTGTTAAGATTCATTAATTCCTTTTAAATATGAAAAATCATAAGGTTAACATGGGAAACTCCAGAGCCACTGGGGCGGAGCCCGAGAGTCCGATCAGAATAAAAACTACTTAGTTTTCCTATTTAATGCCTAAAGAATCAGTGTACCAAATTTCAGCTTCCTAGGTAAATGGGAAGTGGGAGAATTAGTGATGAGTGAGTGAGTGAGTGAGTCAGTGAGGGCTTTGCCTTTTATATATTTAGATATGTATATATATATATATATATATATATATCTCTATATATAGATATATAAAAATTTGAACGAATGGTGTTTTTGGCCTCTGGGGACATCAAAATGAAAAAGTAAGTCGGTCCCGGGCTTAGGTCTTACCATGAGACCTACGGTAATAGCTACTTCCCTATAGGAAATTCGCTAAAACATTGGAAGATAGCCGGATAGCTACAGTAATAGGTTTAGTCACGAGATTTCGCTAGTTTCTCGTAACTACTTTCTGCTCCTTTGTTTCCTGAATTAATTCCCCTAATTAAGAAGAAATGTACAATTATTTGTGGACTTTCATTTTAATAGATTGAAGATAAAATTGTTGCTACAAACAAATTAGTTTGTTTATGCAATTATTCAAATCTCACACACTTAGAGTGCATGAATGATATTAGCTAGTTAAGTAGTAAAATAAATAAAATGAGAAACACATAAACTGTGACGTAATTTTCCTGGCGGGTGGCAAGTGGGAAATTACGCCACCGATAAGAAAACGAGATCCCAGGATTCGCCCTAGTCTGGTCGCAGGGAGTTTCCCAGGAGTCGATAGTGAATCGGATAGCCTAAATTTGATAGCCCTGGTTGTCAGAGCTCGAGACGAACGTTGCGGGTTACCCAAGCACCCAGCTCGAAATCACCACTCTAGCCTAGGGCTGGAGGAGAAATTAATAATTTTGACTTGACTCTGTGGGCAAATATCTAAATGCAACTCTACTAGCTAACTTAACGAAACAACAAGTAAGCTAAGTAGTCACTCCGCTTACCTACGGAGTTAAGTCGTCAACCTGCAACAAACAAGGTTAGTACAAGATAGGCCTAACCTAGCCTAACTCCCACAGAGTCCGAATTTACTAAAACAAGAAAACAAGTTGGCTTAAATTGTCCAAGGGAGACACGAAACGAGAGAAAATTTAAACTAAAAATAAAACTGCTCCTTGAGCTGAAAAACAAAAAACTAAAACTTTAACTTCCTCACGTGTTCAACTTAAACCAACTTCGACAGAAATTGTCCAGCAGAAACCTGTCTGCTGGAACAGACTTTGGGGCGTTTGGGGAACTTTAAAAAGGGTTTTAAGAATTTCAAAGAAAGTCCCAAGACGGATTAAGAAACGTTAATCGAAAATAATTTTCACCAACTGCAATACTTTACCAAATTAGTTGGTTAAAAATGTATGCCTAGATCAGAGAGTCAGGCCTAGCCTGCGAACTTCGACAAAGTTCTGCCGAAACACAAGTGACGAAGAAGTATTCGAAAGAAAAACCTAAGTTGTCTAAGTTTATTACACAACTTACCAAACGAAGTAATAATACTATAAAACGATTGTTCGCGCACTCGATGCACCACGAAGCTTGTAACTTTTAAACGGTGAAGTTGAACGAAGCTCTCCAAAACGAAACGAACGATCGAACCACCAAAAAGCCGGGAATACGAATGACAAACCCTCCACAATTCTTATTCTTCTCTTCACCTTCGTCTCAGAATCGAGACGAAAGTTAAAACGCTCCCTGATTGGTCAGCACAAACAGAGTCAACTGAGTCCCGTGTCAGCAAAGGCAGGCGTATGACAGCTTTAACATGCTTACAGCTGTGTACCACTCAAAAGGTGGCCCGCTGCTCCTCCTTTCTCCCGTAGCCTGCCTTCGGACGCAGTCGAACAATCAAACAACCAAACTGACACCAACGTCGTCTGCGATCTTGGAATTTGAGGTTAGGTGCGATGTCAGTTTAGCGTCGCGACTAGGGCACAACAACAGCTTACATTCAGCTGTTTAAGTTTTGTGGTTTAGCCGTTATTTTACCCCCTACACATTTGACCCGTTACAAAACAATCCGTAAATTTCACCTGTAGGCCTACAACATTTGTTGTTTTGAAGAAAATCCTTTTCCCCAATTTTGACACAGAAAACGTAGGTGCAACTCTTCATGATCTCTATCATTCATCTCTTCTATCTTCATTATCTCTTTCAATTAGATGGATAATCAAAGGTGTATTATTATTGTTATTTTATCTTTATTACCCGATTATATCTAGCGGGTATCATTTGAACATAACAGCTAAAACAAAACCTAATAAAACCAATTTTGTAGAAACCACTCTTTGTGGAAGAAAACTTATAATGATAATAATAATAATCTTTATTCGTCATAAGGATACATTAGATCATCGACAAAGTCAAAATCATGATCAAACATCAATCGTCAAACAAAACAAAATCAAAAACACTTTCAATATTATATTTTGAAAAAACAATAGGGCTTAATAACTAAAATATGTACATATGACTAAACAAACAACAATATAAGGACCTGATAAAGCAACAGGTTAGCAGCAGGGTTATACAATCAAAGATTTATTTGGCCAGATTTGAACAAATCTTCCAGGCTATAAGAAGGGTTGTCTAATAGCCAATTATAAAGGACTTAAATTTTTCTTGCGGATAAGCATCAATGTTGTGTTTTAAAAGGTTATACATATATACATATTAAAATCCTTTTTAAGCGCTAATTGAGAACTTTCCCTTTAGTATTCAGCGGAACTTTCAATATCGAGTTTGGCGTAAACTTCGTAGTTCAACCAAAGTTTATTGCCCTCATCAACTAATATCAACTGATAAACATTTTACTCTTTCATAAAACATTATTACATCAGATAGATCAACTATTGTTCTTTATAACTTAGTTTGTAGCGTACTTAAAAGTTATTACATAATCGTGTAATAAGAAATTAACAATAACCCACAAAATTGACATTGGATATATTATTTAGAACCCATTGTTATTTTAACATCTGAAGCTTTTTAATTTGTGTTTTGTCTGGAAATGTCATAGTATGATGCCGTCTGTTAGATTTTCCTTTCCTGTTTGAATGTAAATATTGCCGTTTGAAATTTGTGGTTGAACTAAATCAAATCAAATCAAATCCATATTAATTGAAAACGCCAGTTTTATGATTTTACAGGGCACATGTCTCAGGTTGTAGTAATCCACTGATGAAAAATAATAAAATAACTGAAAAACGTCAAAGTAACAATGTAGGATTACCTTTTCGATGTAATAAAACTTTTGATTGGCTACCAAAAATTAATTAAAAATATAAATAAAAAAACAAAAAAAAAAAAAACTGGACAAAATCATTCCTCTAACAATGCTGTATAAATAAGTTTTCTTGCAGGAATTAGGAACCTCCATATTTTTTGTGGACCTTTGCCTCACTTTATTTATTAGTTTTAGGGGTTCCCCAGGGATCCAAAACACTGTTCAAAGTTCATATATTTGTATTTGCACTTTTAATTACGTTATTAGTTTTCTCTCCAAACAACATCTTTTCCGTTCTATAAAGTTTATATGCAAAATTCAAAACTTATATAGCCTAACTGATAGTACCTAGCTATTACAGAGAACATAGCACACACTACATGTTTGATAAAAGTTCATTCCAATCCAATGGCTGATTGGCAGATGGTAGTTGTAAACCACTACAAACTTCAAGACTGATAACAAATATTATTGATCAGGAGTCAATATTTGAAGAATTATAGCTCAAATTAGAGGGCGGAGAAATTGGAAATTCACCCAGTATGTTGATGTATAAGAATGCTTAACGTCCATGGTTTTCCAGATTGAGAGAGACACCAAACAACCAGTCAATGATCAGCTGTTGCTGTTACCAAGTGGCAAACAGCTGACGAACAACAACCTTGCTGTGGACTGCTGGAACCCAAATGAAGTAGGAAATCACCTGGAAACTAAGTATATTCCAAGAGAAATGAAGTTTTAAATGTTGTTTTTTATGTACATCCCAGACACTTAGAAAATTTGAATTCGATGTAGGGCCTAATTAAGTATTTAGAACCACACATTCTCTCAACTCCATACTCATTGTTTGAGTATTAAAAAAAATTGCTGGTATGGAAAATGAAAGGAATCAACTAACATTACAATTTGTCCATGTTTTGCCTCCTGGATTGATAAAGAGTAATAATAATAGGTTAAATACCTTATTTACGTCTTCAATCCAAAGTAGTCTTTTATGATTACTATAGTTTTGGGGCTAACAGCTCCATTGTAAAATCTTCTTGTCTTGTTAAATTACTGTGAATAGCATTGGTCATAGTTGAAGATCACATGTAGACACACACTCACACACAAAACATTAATATATACAAGTAACATTAAAAATTTGTATTTTGGCCGGCCTAAACGAAAATGATTAGCGTAGTGGTTGTACGGACAGGTACACTGGCTGACTGCATAATAATAAACATAAACATGCATAAACATTACAAACAGTTTCAAATCAATAGTGAAAAAAACCTCCCTGCCTGATCTTATACTAAAAAATAATGTGTAAATCCTTAACTGTTTGATTGTTGTTTCTGTTTGGTTTAAACTCAATTCAATACTTAGGTTTACTTGTTTACGACGCTTGTCCACTATAAATCAATTTATGTTTTTTGGAACACAGTTACTTTATAGAAGCAGGCGTGGATATTTATTATTATTGTGATACGTTCTTTGTATGTTTGGCTGCAAACAAGGATCCACCATAGGCAAGTATAATACAAAGATAGGAAAACAAATTGATTTATTTCAAGTTTAAGAGATTAACAAATAGATTTAGAAAAACATGCTTGGCTTAGTGACATTAAGAGGACTTGGATGCCTGCGGCCATCTTGGAACAGCTCTTGAAGGGTTAATCCATTAAAAAATTTTTTTTCCAAATACCAAAGTGATTATAATTTAAATACCTATTTAGTGCACTGTGAGATCAGAAAATTCTTTTGTAGCTTTGTAATTGTTTTCCAAAGAAGTCCATGCAGACTAGCGGCCATCTTGATCTTGGATTTGCCCGCCATAAGAGCAATGTTGATTTTGTTAATTTCAAACAGCCGCTGAAGAGTTATTTACCATATATTTTTTCAAATACCAAAGTCATTGTAATGCAAATTTACAATTTTTATCTATTTTCAATAGAGTTTGGTAGTTTCTTTTAATCTGGGATTTTCTTTCTACATTAGCCTCAAAGTCCTGTGCATAGGATGTATGTATATGTAGGATGTATGTATGTAGGATGTATGTATAGTATAGGGTAAGCTTGTACGGTACAATTATGAACTTTAGGCCTAACGATAAATTATAAAGTGATGAGACCGGGACACAACCCCAAGACGTCGCTACCTGCTTTTACCATCCTTCGCTACTGACTCACCCATCTACTCACCAAATATTAAATAATAAATATACCACTTCAATCTATAAATCTGTAGATAGAATTAATATCAATCTAATAACCAATTGCTCATAAAACCTCTTGTCTAAAAAATTCAGATCTTTAACCCCAAAAAATGTTACAAGTTAGTAGTTACAGACGTGTACATTTCTGTTTATTTCATATTTGTTGGACGCCAAATACATATAATTAGTAGTTAAAAAAAACCATTGAAACCACAGGAAATGTTATTCTACCTCTTATCCTAAAATTAAAAAATAAATAAATCAAAGCACTGTTTTAGAGTTTACTGTCTAATGTCTAGATAACTTAAGAACTGTTTGTAGGGCCACAACACTGCTATTTATTAGTGCATTCACATTGTAACTGTACACAGATCACTAAAAACCAGTTTTGACCTAATGGTTTTTACGATTTGTCACTAATAGACGTGTTCACACTAAACAAATTTAATTCCCCACATCTGTAACGGAACTGAAATGACCTTATCACTTTTATTACTGTACTCTCTTTCTAATGCTACTTCAGCTGATGTATTGTTTGTTCTACAGATAACGATGTTGTACGTGTTTAGTCAGTCGTCCTTCACGTTACCAAGTGTTAACAACGCCAAGGACAGAGTCCCTGGGCTGGTGCGTTGGCTCATGGAACATCCAAAGGTGGGGATGAACTCTGCTTGCATGAGAAACTGTTATTCATAACATACACTTAGAATAGCTATATGTTTTTGCATAAAAAAAACATTTCTGTCCCAGCTCTGACTGTACAGAAGTCCTTCTTGTTTTTAGTGAATTTCCCTATAGGAAGGTATTAGCAAATTTTCCTATAGGCAAATTTTAGCGAATTTCCCTATAGGAATATATTAACGAATTTCCCAATAGGAATATATTAGCAAATTTCCCTATATGAAAATATTAGCGAATAGGAAAATACTGTATTAGCAAATTTGCCTATAGGAAAATACTAGTGAATTTCCCTATAGGAAAGTAGCTATTACGGTCGGTGGCACGGTAAGACCTAGATTTGGGAAAGTTGTGATTTCATTTTGATGTCCATAGAGGCCAAAAACAATTCATTCAAAGGTAAAAGCCTCCTAATCCAGCAGCTGATGGCCTCACACTTTCAATAATCTGGCATTAGTCTAAAGGTCCATGAATTGGTTTTTTGAATGCTGTTTTAAGAGTTTTTGAGAGATTCGGGAGGAATGTTAGTGATCGGCAGACATTGGGTGCGGCAATTAATGGCTGTTCATAAAATACGTTTAGTGATCCATCATTTAAAATAATCCGTCCTATTTTTATTTGGCACTTGATTAGCAAGAGTCTATTGTATATTGTTTTACTATTGTTTATGGAGTTACTTAATTTGGCCATTTAAGATTTTTCAATAATATGAAAACTGCCTCATTTCAAGCTTCATTCATTCATGTTTTGTACCATAGGATGAACTAGAATATCACCATCAGAAGACAGTATGGAGACATGCAGTGTTCTTCCTACAGCAAGAGCATGATTTGTACCAGCTCTTCATAGAGGCTTATGCTGTCAAAATGTGAGCAAACTGTTTATAAATATTCTATTACAAAACTAAATTGTAACACAAACCGTATTTGTTTTCATACAAAACAAGTAGCTCTCGATTTTGCTGCAAGAATCACAATTCTAGCAGCTGTTTCCGTTAAACCAGGTGTGTCACAGTATATTTTAACCAGCTTAAGAATCCATTAGAATGACAATGTTTGTTGAATAGCTTCAGCATGTGGACTGGCTATTTACACTTATTATATAATAAGTAAACTACTTACTTACTAGCATACAATTTAGTAAAATTAATGAAGTGGTCAGTTTGGTTAATTGGTTAACTTATTGAACGCATGCAAAAATTAACAAAATTTGGTTACAGGTTGTCATTACTAGAGCAGAGCTACGAGCTGTCCCAGATAGAACTCTCTGTTAGTACAGAAGTAGAACATCTGGTGGCGATGCAGAGAATGTCCTCAGAAACACTAGAGTTTGACAACAAATGCTACGGCCGCCATCTCAGCATCATCACTGCTTGTAAGTTAAAAGAAGGGTTTCCGTTTTCAAAACTTCGTTACTTCAGTTGTATCAAATAACATTGTCTGTAACACAGATTAAATCCACTAACCATAGTGCCTATGATACTACTAATATTTCTATCTTGAACAAATAATTTAGCACTACAGTATAGACGCTCCCTAATCCAACACGCTCGACATTGGTTTTGCCGGGTTATTGAACGTTTTCTTAAACCGTCATTATTAAGAAATTAGTGGAATACCCATGTTTGCCGATCGATACTAACGTCTGAGCAATCTCCTTGATGCTCAAACAATCGCTCATGAAGTCTAAAAGAACGCTCTCAACCTCTTCTGATCCCTCCTGGTGTCTGCTGATTTAAAAAAAAACTTAAAACCAACATACAAACTTAACTTTGCTGTATTATTGAAAGAGCTGCATCATCGGGAGCCAGATAAGCAGATTTTTACTGTTATTCTACTCAAAGATAGTCAGCTACTGTGCCGAGGAAAGCACTTGGTATTTGACCATTTCTTAGGGTGAAAACGTAGCGGAGAGTAATGTGTACCTGCACCAACAAACTAGCCTCTCCGTTCCGAAATTCTACCCCGATTTCTTTATCTCGAGGGTTTGGTCGAGGGTCTAGCCTGACTCTGTACTGTGGTGTGGTGGTCAAACTGACTAATAATATGTAGTTTTATTTCGTCAGTTCGTTCGTGAACAGCCTCCTGTTTGGGACAAGGAATAATTGTATTACAATGCATGAAATTATGTTGTGTAATTATTCTTGTCATAAGGTACAGTTTTCACATTAACTGACATCTATATAAATAATTTATCCTGTAAAAGTTTTTTTTTTACTTTTTGATACAATGATTAGATGCTTCTATAAATACATCTAACAGTTTTTATTATTTTAAATATGTATGTAGGCAATTGTTCAATAAATGGCCACTTTGCTGTGTTTTACTATTTTCACCAATTATTAATTTATTTACAAAATCAGTACATTTTACCCTCAGGATAGGCCTACATAAATATTAGGTTTAATGTATATTCAAAAGTACTGTACTTCAGCCTCTTGACTTGCTACTGTTGCCGCTTCACTATTTGCATGAGCAACTCCGTTACCATCGGGGGTAAAAAAACTCTCAGCTATGTTCTCCGCTACAATCTAGCCTTGCCGATCCACTATGTTTCCCTCTTAAGAAATTGACAGTAAAGCAGGCTTACCTTCAAATAAGTTCATAGAGACACAAAGAACACAAAAGTAGAAATTTTTGTTTATCACTGTCCACCTTTTCAACCTCTGGAGAAATCTCCAGTGGTTGAATGATTTCTCAAGGGGTCGAAAAACTGGTCAATGACAACGAAAATTTCTACTTTTGTGTTGTTTATATGTGTTTCTCTCTATGGACTTATTTAAAGGTAAGCCTGCTTTCTTGTCAATTTCCACAACAATTCCTTGCAAATACCCTACCTTTTAATCATTGGTATTTGGTTGTTTTGACATTTTTATTTTTTAATTAGGGTAAGACTATACTTTCCAAAGTTAGTGCTAAAAATTCCAAAGTTTTGATGTGGTGCTTTAGAAAGTAAATGTTAATTTTAATTAGTGTCGATAGCAAAAAAATAAAACTTTGCAATTGTTACGTTTTAATTCATGCAGGCGATTTAATTGAATTTGAGAGCAATGATTATACAAAGTAGGATATTTGATTTACCGATTGTAGGATTAATTTAGGTACAATACAATCTACTACATTCCAAAATGTTTATGATTTTTTTATTTTCTGAAACTAAAATAAACCTAGAAAATTTCAACTCTGTCCTTGAGATACTCAACCTAAACCTCGTCTTTTGTATGTTTTCTAATTAGTGGCTGGTCTGGGCAAGATGATGAGTGGCTGGGCTCTGGAGATGAATGGATTGGCTCAGAGAGTGTCTAGTTATCAGGAGGCTCTAACTTCTATGAAGGTTAGTATGTAGCAACTAAGTGAAATAACAACTGTAAAACTCCCTTGAGGAGTACAGCAACTGTAGATAGAATTGTGCATATCCACTACAAAAATGTCATCCATCGTATCGGTTAAACCTTTGGGTTGTTTTCTTGTCTGTAATCATGTGCAAACTACAATAAAAAAAGGTTTAATATTTTAATTTGGCAACAAAAACATTTGTACAATTTGGCAAAAAAATCTGTACTTCAGTCAATTTACTGAGTTGAATTTTATTAAATGATTTTATAAAATTTTCCATATAGGGAATAAGCTATTAGGTCTTGCAGAAATACCTATACCTGGAACTAATTATATGTGTTTTTTTGTTGTTGTTGTCAGAGGCCGTTCAAATTCATATATACAGGGGTGTGTTATTGTCTGTCAGCACGATAACTTGAGTAAAAATTCCGATTTTGTAAATGTAAACCTTCGTTTAATGCAGCAGGGTACTGTATCACATAAATCAAAATGTTTTCCTTAGGAAGAGGAATTCAAACTTTCATTATTCTCTTAGTTAATCTACGCTGCATTCATAAAGCTAAATTTTGCTGTCCGTTATTTGCAGGGTAGAGTGAGGGAAGCCCAGCAGATTACTGCCATGCTCCAAGAATACAGAGATCCTGGCCTAGATGATGTGTTAGGGTTTGAGTGTTGGTTAGTATCATGATCAGTGTAATACTTGATCAAATAAATTAGTTTTGATTAGTTAAGTGTTAAATGACAGAGAGGTTTGTGTGCATTTATAACTTAACAAAGTAAGCTTCCTCACCTTTGTCTGTAGTGCAACACAGAGAAATAAGGTACTGGGGAAACTTGCTAATATGACGACCGTGGGCTTTCGGTTCTAGTAAGGGGTGTGCACGTAGGTGCACGCTAGGTAATACTTGTGGCAAGGAAAGAAGAGCCCAATCGGCAAGCACTGTACTGAAGTGCCACAGACACAGGGTCTTCTTCCAGCATGAGTTTTGGTAGCATGTGAAGGCAACAGGGAGAAGGGGTGCAAAGAAGGTTAGGAGAAGCAACAGCATAGGACACCAGACTCTTGTGCTAGACACTACTTAAGTGGACCATTGAATGTTTCCTCTGTACCTTTCTTCTCTGTGAGTTTTTTTGTCAACTAGTGCTGACTAGTTTCGTTGCAAGCACAATATTGCCAAAGCTGCAACACGTCAAACCATTTTGACTATGTTGTGCTTGAAACAAAACCAGTCCGCACTATTTGGTAAAAAAAAAAAAAAAAAACTACATTAGAATTAAGGAAGTTAATTTTTTAATGTTATGGTTACAGGGGCTGTAAAATAGATTACATGAACTTAATTTTACCATAAACAAAATTGCAATACACACAAATTGTATTTTTGTATGCAATTTAACCCTTCAAGACGGTTTGACGAGCGTTACTCGTCACGCGTAAAAAGACACTGCTACGGTTTGACGAGTGCCGCTCGTCATGACATGACCCGATAAGTGGTGGTCTCTGACGACGATTTAGTGAACTATTTGGAACCCGGACTCTATGGAGCATGTTGTCCATTAGTTGTTCGACATTTTTCAGCTGTTATCGATCGCAGTAAGTGCGACAGAGACAGATGTATTGTTTGCAAACTTGAGTGTTGTTTTGTTTGTTCGTCTCGGCGTCAACTGTTGATACGTACTGACGTTCTCAATCGTTTTTTACGGTATAATCGTAATTATATAGCATAAAGTGGTGTTAAATTATATTTCAAGTTATAAAAAAGTTAACTAGGTGATTGTTGATTCTTAGTTTTTGTTTGAAAATGTAATTTATGACGTGTGTTTGGGAAAGTTGCGTGCGTGTTGTTGTGTAAGGTTAGGTTTGTGCTAGGTTATTCTGACAAAAAGATATAAGTTTTAATTTTAATGTTATTTTTACAAAAGTGAAATGGCAAGATCTAGTGAAATAGACCATTGGATAGATGAAGATGAACACCTATTGTCGTCAGATGAAAGTGAGGAGGAGGAAATAGACTTCGCTCAACAGGAGGTAGGCCTAGAGGGTAACGTTGATTTTGATGATGGCGATGAGATTGAAATTGACATTGGAAACAATTTTGATGTTGATGATGAAATGGAAATTGATGATCCGGTTGTACAGGGAAATAGGAACATTGAAAATATAATTGAAAGTGTTGTACTAGGGGCTGGTGACTGCCCATTACCAAGACCTCAAGCCAAGCCCCAAATGGTTTGGGAAACTATGGAAGGCTACGAACCTAGCAGAGAACCCTTTAGGCCTAACAGGGAATCTGGGCCTAAAATACCCGCTAATAGTCCCCTAAGTATTTTTCAATTTTATTTTGATGATGATATTATGAATCTCATTGTAACAAGTACAAATCTTTATGCGGAACAGCAAAGGGCTAAGAAAGGAATGGTTTTTGCACGACGATCCAGAGACTGGGCTTGGCAGCCTGTTACAAAAAATGAGCTGTATATCTATTTTAGTATTGTCATGCTTATGGGTATTGATCAAAAACCAAGCCTTTGAACATATTACTGTAAAAATCCTCTGCTCGAAACCCCAATCTTTTCTAGTACCATGCCTTTCGAGCGTTTCCAGATGATTAGCAAATATTTACATTTCAGCGCTTCAATGCGACTATCGCAATTCCAAGGTCCAAAAAAACTTTTCAAAATATATCCCATTATTGAACATTTGAACAAGAAGTTTATGGAGTCTTATGAGTTGTCCCAAAACATTTCAATTGACGAATCACTAACTCTGTGGAAAGGTCGGCTTTCGTTTCGACAGTACTTGCCTCTGAAATCAGCACAATTCGGAATAAAATCTTTTGAAGTGTGTGAATCCTCCTCAGGGTTTACTTGGACCTTACTTGTGTATACTGGGAAGAACTCACCAATTGAATGTCCCATAGTCCCGCCTGATAGCAACAAGTCCACAACAATCGTCATAAAGCTGTTAGAACCGTTATTGAATAAAGGACACACCGTATGGATGGACAACTGGTATAACTCCCCAGACCTATCAAGCTTTTTGAAATCCAAAAAGACTGATACTTGTGGAACACTGAAACTCTCCAGAAAAAATGTTCCTGATGAAATAAAGAATGCCAAGCTAGGAAAGGGGGAAATATGTGCTCTTCATAGCGAAAACGTTATGGTAATGAAGTGGAAAGACAAACGTCTTGTCACACTTATTTCTACATTTCATAATCATGAAATAGAGCAAAGAAGGAACAAGTCAGGTAAAGAACACATGAAGCCTGTTCTTGTTTATGATTATAATCAACAGATGGGGGGAGTAGACCTTAGGGATCAAATGCTCCATAATTTCCTCCTAGAAAGAAAGCGTGGAGTAAAATGGTATATAAAACTATTCAAGCGGCTGATGAATATTTCAGTTCTGAACTCATATATTATTTGGAAGTTTACAAACCCAAAATGTGACCATTTACAATTCAGACTACAGTTGATAAAGGAGCTAATCCATACTTATCAGGCAGAGGTAGCTAGACCAGTGCATGGCAGGCCAAGCATTGAACCGAAGCCCGCTAGACTCGTTGAAAGACATTTCATCGATCACATTCCACCAACAGAGAAGAAGGAAAAACCTACAAGGAGGTGTGTGGTCTGCTACAAAGCTGGGTTAAGAAAAGAAACAGCCTTCTGGTGCCCAGATTGTAAGGCAGTGCTGTGTCTTGTCAATTGCTTCAAGGACTACCACACAAAACTCAACTTCTGAAGGTATGTTAAAAAAAATTTTATGTTAATGTTATATTTTTTGGTATTATTTTGTAGATTACTAACTTATTCACATACAATTTTATAAATAAAATAGATTGATATGATGTATCCTACCAGAGAAAACTAAGTTTCGGTGAAGTATTGTAAATAATGGGCGCGATCACGGCAAAAACTACCGTAGCAGGGTTCCGTGGGCTTTAAAAAACGCCCGCCTTGAAGGGTTAAAAAACGGTAAAGATTATTTTTTACCTTATTTTGCATCCATATTGACACTATTTCAACAACTATTGCCTAAAAAGAACTATTCAACTAAAGTTGCATCAAAATTTAGATTATTTTTTAAAGGATGTCTTCAACCTACCCTCTGAAGTCCTATAATATGACAAAATACCAGTGTGAAGTTTTGTGTATCTATTAGTCTCTGGAATCAGGAAAGTGCCAAACTCTATTACTTTTCAAATAATGCCTAGCTAGCTCAATGGTTTCCTTTAGAATGTAACCAAAATTTGGATTAATTCTTTCAAGCATGGTGTTACATAAGTTAGGAGGAAAACATTAAAAATTTGGAACGGCTTTGAATTCAATTTATTTTAGTTTATTTTGACTACTAATACCCTTTTGTAGGATGACAGAGGGATACAAGTGCTACGACAATCTGCGTAAACGTAAAGATCGCATAGCAAAACACCAATCCCTGGACATGGCACGTATAGTCTACAAGTGTTTTAAGCAGATAGATATCTCTGCCCAGAATCAGTCGTTTGCTGACCACTTGATGTAAGTTTACTCTTTGACATCCCCTTGAGGTATATTGTAACACTTAATTATGTATAGCTAGTTCATACATATGTTGATACATGGTATTTGATCTGGAGCATTCAAATTATAAGAAAAGGGTTAAAATAAAACCTATAATCAAAGATAAATAAACCTCTCCTTTCAAAGCCATATTCAAGAAGCTAAGCCAGAGAGCCTTGCCTTTACTAATAATTAATAAACCTTCTAAAATCCACAAGGGCAAGCCAACTTAACATGGAACTGTAGTATCTACTTTACACTAGTATTTATTTACACTTTACTTTACACACCTTACTTTACACTTTACTTTAGTATAGGGAAGGACGAGATTGGATTTTTAGTTCGAGACGAGACGAGATTTTTTATTTCTCATAAAATTTCGAGACGAGATCAAGATGGGATTTCCCTTCTCATACACAACGGGAAATGCACGTTCAAAATTTTTACCTGATTTTGTAACATTGACTGTTTAAATACAAAAATAATGATAATAGGCAAGAATATTTACAATATTTTATTAAAAAACATAACATTTTTTTATTAATCACGCCTAACTTATTAAAAATGCCTACGATTAGGAAACATAGTGATATCAGTTAGGATAGAGTTCAACTTATCCTAAAATAAAATAAATCATAAAATAAAAGCAATATTAATTTTTATAAAATAGTTACTTGTTTTGACTTTTTATAGTAATAAAACATTCCTCACACTGCTTACACTTAACAAAACTTCTCAAATGTTATTAAAATAATATTATTAAAATAATTAAAGTAATATTTACATTTAAAGAATTAGTTAAATAAGAACGCCTTCGCAAAGGAAACGCAACTACAACACACTCCTGTATTGCGGGTATTGCATTAACTTTCTGCAGGCGTTTTAAATTTTTTTATTTTTTTTTTTATTCTCGTCTCGATAAAAATCTCGGCCAAAAATAAATCTCGTCTCGTGTAACAAGATTTAAAATTTCACGAAAATTTCCCGAAATTTCGAGACTTGACTATCCCTACTTTAGTATTTACCTTACAGTGGTGTTTGTTTATTCATGTTTATCCATCTACACCATTGTATTTTTAAAGTTTTTTTTTAGGGAATATTCCTTACAGTGGTTTTTGCACCATTTAATTCTGACCTTTTGTCTGATGCTAGATAGCATCATTAATTGATATCATATTACAAGTGGCATCTGGGTTCAAAACCAATCTTGGACGAGTGGCAGAACCTTTAGGTTACCTAGACAATCATTGTATGCATACACCTGGTTTGGAATGTTTACTTTATAATGATAATCCTACTCACAGTCAAAATAGAACACATTCATACTTGGCTTAAAATACCTACTTTGTATGGTCGCCATTTCATCAAAAAGTATAAAGTATAAAGTTTACATTCAGTAATCCTGATTTCTTGAATGGATTGCAGTATAATACTATAATACCTTCGTTGAAGAAAAGTGTTCTGTGTTATCTACAGGTATAATTTCTTTATATACTCATTGAAAAAGATCGATATGATATGTTCCAGGCAACTAATGAAGTGTGAATCAGAGATCATAAGTCTTCTGAAGGCGCTGGGCTCGCTGAAGCAGCAAGTCAGCAAGAGTAAAGTAGATGTGATGCGATGTCAGTATCTGAGGCAGAAAGAAACTTGGGCTTTAGTCAAGCGACTGGCTGGACAGGTACAACAAACACAGGTAAAATTGATGATTTGTTACACATTGTATCTTTAAAGATATATCACAAAGCAGGGAGTACTGAAGGAGCACATTTCCTTCTCTGTTGTTTTTCTGTTTCATGTACTAACAGGTGAGGGTTTTGATTAGTGTTATCATTGCGTTGGGACTAATCAAAACTGTATACTTCCACAGTTCCTTATCCTCCACTATTTGCCATCTCAATCTTTTTCTCTCTGCATCCCTATTCTTGCCTTGATTGAGAACTGCGTTCTTGGATAAACAATAGGAGCGACTACTGAGTAAATCAGTTGGTAGAATTGAATCTTAAACTGTAAGTTTTGTAGCTTTGAAAGGCAAACTAGGCACATTAGGGACAAGACAAAGGTTTTTCCTGCCTATTTTTATAAATCTAATATGTTAAAAGTACATTAACTTTATTCAGAACACTCGGTTGTAATACACCGAAATAACATTAATAAATTATATATTTTTTTTATCTATAAACTAGCATGGAGAGAAAAACTAAGCACAACAACTAAGTACAGTAGTAAGAAATTAGGGTAAATTTAACTTAATATAATCGCATAATATTTTCATGGCAAAATCAAGATGACTCTTGTCTGTTAGTTAGTACTACTGCTACACAATTGTATGACATTTTACTGCAGTAAATGGCAGTTCAGGACGTTTGGAAAAAGAAAAATCCAATCAGTATTTTAGTTTTAAAAGATCTTAAAAGTAAAAAAATAATATCCTTAACTTTTGCTTTAGGTTTAAAACCTTTAAAACAGTTTTGGGAAAACTCTATCTACAGTTGGAAGCTTATTCAAAATATTCTGAGATACCTTTTTAAGAATCAAAGGATTTTACAAATTTAACGATTTAAACATTTTGAGGGATTCTTTAAGAATCCTTTTACAGAATTTTGAGCTGAGGTCGTTTTGACTCACTACCTAGTACCTACCCTACCTTTTTTAACCAAACTGTAGTTAGCCTATTTTAATATGAAATATCATAACCTGTTCATAAAAAAAGGTTCAGGGTGAAATGGGCTGGAACGTTACTTTCCCACACCTTAAGTTTTACAGAAATAGTGGAGGAAATCATAATGCTTGTACCCTGCTTTTATATAGATGTCTAACAAACTGTACATGTTTTCCAGATAGACACAGAAACTGGAGCTGGTAGTAGTTTGTCAACAGCTGTATCTCCCCCGTCTCCTCAGCCACCTCCGCTACCTCCTCATAGAGACACCAGTCCTTTACTAAACCAGGTCAGTATCTGCTTGGACTAGTTTTGACATTTTAATCAAACTTTTGCATTACCATAAATACCAGAACTAAAATAAGACTGGCACGCTAATTTGGTGCAGAATCTTATATTTTACAGAAAAATATGCAAATTGTATTACATGGAAAGATGGCTTGTTATTTAGTACAACAAGGTAGAGAGGACATAAGGTGGGTAGAGAAATGAATCTCTTTCGACGCCTAGTAGCATCGGTCCTCCCCAAGGTAGAGAGGAAGTGTGAGGTTAGGCATTTTAAGGTTTTTTTTGGCAAATTCTCTAGGCCAGGATTGAGATTTTTATAATAAAAGGATCCTAGCTAGCTTATCTTTTAAAATTTAGGCAGGATGTAGTTAATACAAACGACATTGAAAACATACCCTTGGGAGTCTTTTTTATGTTTGAACAAAGAAAGTTTAGACTAAGATTGACAAAGAAAAAGAGTTTGCACAAAGAAATGTTTGATTAAGATTATGGATATAATGTTTAGAATGATAATGTTTGTTGTTGCAGGTACAAGTTCCACCTGCAACTACTGTGAGCACTTCAGTGATGTCTCAACTACCTCTTAGCTTGTCTAGTGGCAGCAGCACAAACCCTACAACACTACCAAGTCCATCGGTTGACCTTCAAACACAAATGGCAGCGTTGAGCCTTGCTTCTACAAGCACAACCCAAGAGACATCAAACATTACTCACAATCGTACAACTTCCCACAGTCAAACTGCATCGGACATGGCTTCTAATTTGAAGCGAAATAATAGTGAACCAAGTCAAAACACTAGTCAAACATCGAGGAATGGAAGTCAAAACCCAGTTAACAAGAGTGGGCTGCTTAAGCCAGGGTTTGACTTGTCTTCTCGTCAACAACCATTGACACATACACCTGCTGTGCCCAGGAGTCTTTCTATACCTACGACTTTAGTGCTGCCAAAGTCACCACTCGACTCTGAGAGCCTCATACAGGACAATATCAATATTAGATATGCGTAAGTTTTACAAAAGATTTACTATTTACCATTCACTGTACAGTACAGAGTGTCCATGACACATATCTCAAATGGCAGCAACTCTGTTAAAAATATCTGGATTGACAAATCACTTCTAAAAATTATATGTTTTACCGAGCTTCTATTTTACAAAATTTTACCATGCCATAGTCAAAAACTAAATTATTAGGTTTAAATACCAATCATTGAAAAAATACAAGTTATTAAAATAAGTAAAATTCATGAAGGTTGTGAAGACAGTTGATGCAACCCACATAACAATAAGTATTTGTTAATAGCACAACTATTTCTCAAGGACTTATATGGCATAGTGAATGGGGTGATTGAGTTTTAAAAAAAGCTTATTACAGCGTCCGTAAGTTCCTGGCTGACGGCTAAAATAAACTATCAAACTTGTTTGATCATAGGTATCCTTAGTGTAAAAAAAGAACAGTTATTATTTCTTATTTAAGTCAAGAAACTGTATGTTTTTGCTAAATGACATGACCAATGCATGTAATTGTTATTTTTGGTTAAATAAATGAGTTATTGAGTTATTAAGTATAGATTGGCAAATGAAACCTTACAGTTAAACTTTAAACACTAAATATGAATAATATAAATATATATAAAATATAGGCAATTTTTTCATACCACAGGTAGATCAACTTTAAAAATAACATAATTTGCCATTTTAAGATGTTTTTTGAAAAACATGTACTAAACTGTATTTAGAATTGTTTTTTTATCAACGGCAATGACATTATTTAATGTCATCTTTTTGTAAGATAGCATAATTAATTGACAGCCCAATGAAAAATGGCATCTGGGTCCAGTAATGATCTTGTTTAGAATCAAACCATTGACCTTCAGATTGAACACGAGCACTATAACCACTAGGCTACCACAAATTAATTAACTGTTTTCTGCATAACAAGTACAGTACACAACAATCGCACATTTCTCGGTACTAAGCTTTGTGTGTTATGTCATCCAATGGAAATATATTCCTCAAATCCTCTTGAAATATAAAACAAGATCCAAGTTGAGATTAACAGTACGTTATTGTACCTTTTTTTAAAAGCACTTTGGAAGAATCAAAGAACTAACTATCAACTCTCTCTCAACTAAAATATTTTTATAAAGCGTTAATTTTCATTAAATTAATGATTCAAATTTGTTCCAGGATGCAGGATTCGATCCTCAGTTTTACTCAGTGTAGCAACTCAATCACATACAATGACCTTGACTGGAGCTACTTGGACACTGTCAGTAAGTAACCATAAGGAGAATGAAGTTATTGAAATGATGAGTGAAGCAATTTTTTCTCTTGTGATCATGCCAAATAAGTTTTGCGAGAAGAAACATACTGCATTTAAAGCATTGCCATTGAATAAGGGAAATGTGCCAAAAACATGTAGGTTTAGTTGAAAATGGCTAATTTCAAGCAAAAAGGAAGGCAATATAGATTATTTTAAAAAATGAAATAGATTTTGCCTTTACCTTTTTTTATAAACTGAAATTGAGAGCACCAGATTAGCCAATAAGAGAAAAAAGAATATAATTTGGCTTACAGCCATGATAAATTGTAATTGTTTAAAGAAGCAATTGTACTAATTTAATTAACTTGCAGAATCCAGATTAGACTAATATCAAGGGGAAAATTAAAATAATTAAAATATCCGATGAGAATAAAAGTTGAAACTGTTTGCAATCCATTTGAATTAAAAACATTATTTATGTATCTTAGGCCCGATTTCACCAAATTCTCGCTAACGATGGTTTAATTAAACTTCGGTTAAAACTAACCGACGATTTAAACCACAGTTAAGGAAATCTGGTTTCACCAACGAAAACGCGTCAAAACTAACGCTAGTTTTATAAACGAGAGTTTAGAGTAAAATCCAGGTGGCAGTGGCAGTGAACTGTCATAATACCGGGCTGTTACGGGAGCAAGTAAACATAACCTAGCAAATAAATCAGTGTTTATGAGGTAGTGAAAACAAAACTGGAGACAGAAAGCTTACAGAAATACAACAGATTCTGAGCAAAATAACAGAAAGCAAGAATAAATACCAAAACAATTAACATAAGCAAATAAAGGCAAAGCAATGTTGATCAAACATATTCTAGGAACAAATTGGTTGAGTTTTGCACTCATCAATCCAACTTTTTACAGGGATGTTCAATATTCTGTTTGTTCACTAACCAGTTTGGTACATTTGAAGTAGTGAAAAAACTGGAGTCAAAAGAATTACAAGAGCGAGACATAATGTAGATAACACCAAAATAATTATTTTCTATAAAATACTAGCAGAATTATGACAATTTAGGTTTAGATTTTAGTTTACTTACGTCTGACCGAACGCAAAACAATTGTTTGAACGTTGGGTTAGGGTTACCCAAAGCCGGGAGAAAGAAAGGGAGCCTATTTTTTTTCGAACAATGAAATAATAAATTTGATAATGTTGGTAGAAGAGCCGGGACACTCTTTTTTAGCCGAGATAAAAGAGTACAGAGTACGGCTCTTGATCGCCAATCAGTTCAATGCGGTCGCTGATCACATATACGCCTTAACTAAAAGCCTTGTGGGATAACCTAAAGCAATGAACTATGTGGGATAGCCTAAACACAAACCACTACAGTGGTTTGTATTCATTTCCTAAAGAGAAATGCTAAACGTCTTGATAGTTCATATCTAATAATAAAATCAATTTCATCTTTGTTATTAAAATCATTAACCCTTTCTCTTATCCACCTAGTTAGGCGAACAACATAGGCCACTTCATTGCCATCACTTACTTTCAAAAGCTAATTCGTACCTTATTCTCTTCTACCATTTCGCCTTTCCATATAAACTTTAAACTTAAAGCCAGCTGATATTTACTTAACGAAAGATTAAAGAAGTTAACCGGTCAAAATTGGGCAGTTAATTATCTAACGACGGTTTAGTCTAAACTAGCGCTAACGGCAAGTGGTGAAATCCGATTTCGTCAGTTAAGAGCTAACTGCAGTTAGAGCAAGGCTTAACGGCGGTTTAAAAGTTTGGTGAAATCGGGCCTTAATAATAAAATCAATGATTGATTATTGTAGCACTTTTCAACATAACTTTTGCAACTTTCACAATATCATTCTTGTAGGTACATCGAGCGCATAAACTTATTCATGCTCATTTTTATTTAATTTTTCAAAGTTTCAGCTAAATACTATTGACTGATCAGAAGAAAAATCTGTAGAGATTTTATAAAGTTTTGGTGTATAGAATAAAGGTGGGTAACATTATTTTGATAAAAATAGTGCTAATATTCTAATTAGTCTTAAGATTATTCTTTTGCTACACTATAAATAAACGTAAGGTTTACTCTTAGGACAGAAAATAGAATTATATAAATAGAGGTATGTGGATGATGATTGGAGTGTCCAATTGAAATCCACCACCACTTACCATCTTTTGAACTAAAACTCACATTTGGCTATCAGGGATGGTAAAAATCCTCACTAATATCTGAAAAAAAATGATCAATCTAAGTCATAGATATGTGCAATACAATTTACATTTCTTTTGTAGGGTTGTTTTTGCAGAGATAAGTACGGTATTTCATTATTGTTAGTTTTATGCTATAAAATTAAAAAAGGCAGTTACATGTAATATGTCCAATATTAGAGTATAAGAATATGGCATAATGTCCGATTCTAAATCTATAAGAAATAATGAAAGAAATTAGGATTTCACTTCACTTGTGTAACTGTAAACTAAACCTTTAGATTCTATATTTTTGAGGGTTTTGGATTTTCAACTTTTGATTGTCAGAAATCACCAATCTAAATAAAGGCTAAACACAATGCGTAAATGTAAACTCCTCAGAATATGGGTCGTTCAGTAATGCCACTACAGGAATTTTTGTACGGAGGATGTGGATTCTGACTATTTTATTTAAGGCCAATTTCTGTATTTCTTTATTTTTCAAAGTTTTATTTGTGGTAGATGATTTTTGTGGCTATTTTCAGTAGTTGAATAATCCAGTTAGTCTATTTCATTATTTGATACCTTTGGTTTATATGGATAGTTTTTGACTGTTTAAGGGGTTTTTATTGGGGATAACAATAAAAAAGTGCTTAAGTCATGAAAGGCGGGGAAAGATTCCTGAATTTAGAGACAAGCTACATGTTAACGTATACCATACCTGTAGGTAAGTATATTTTATCATGGGATTTAAAATGTTTTTGCATTGGTTATTTTCTCTGTTTCTCCTAAATGTTTTCTAACCTCAATCTTTAAGCTATTCTAGATTCCAGTTTGCAATGGATGTCGGTTTTGTCATGTCATTGAACAAAGTACAAAATGCTCAAATAACCAAAAAGTGCCTTTTACTGGACTCTTTGATAGCATTTATACATTGTTATTTGAACATTGTGGATTGTTTAGTAGTATTTATGAGGTTATGTTCACTTTTATTATTAGTCTTTGTTTCAGTATTGTATTTGTACCTTTGTTTGAACTATTTGGTAATTTGGAGACAATTCTTGATAATTTTATAGTTTTCAAAATTGATTATTGTTTGATTAAAGGAGAAGTAAACTATTTTATAGGCAAAGATTTACTGACTTTTAATTTAAACTGACTCAATTTAAAAGATTTACTAATTGAATTGTCAAAGGCTGATTAATCTAGTCTATAAAAATGGTTTTATATGTAGTTTACTTTAGTTAGAACCAGTTTTGAACTATTTTATAAAGCAGCGACTGTCATTCTTATTGGACATTTTTGCAAGGTTTTTTTTCTTTTTCAGAGAAGTAATATATTAATTCTCTGAATTTCTATAAAATATTTTCAATAGAACCAACTGAAACAATATACAGATTAGTTAGTAAAATAAAAATACTATACTTACAATTAATTAAAATGATAGTAAATAATTGTTTTATTCTCATGTATCATTTACTTGTTTGTACATTAATTATGATATACTGTATAATATGTTGTTACCAAAATTAGTATTGTATTGTTTTAAAAAAGATTTTCTTATTAAAAGATTGTTGATGAACAATATTACTTTTGACCTTGTGACTTTATTGTTTTTAAAACCTATATATTCCCCAAAACATAAATATATATTTCTGTTTTGAGGCTGAATCAAAAAGACTCTGCTCCTAGAATTTAGAATACACTTAATTTGGTGATACCAAAGGAAAAGCATGTCACCAGTGTTACGTTGAAATGATTTGTGAACACATGTTGTGGATTTGTTAAAAACTATCCTTGATTTATAGGATTACAATAGCAGTATAAACTATTTTGATTCTTGTTTCTTGAAAAACAACTAGAATTCTTTACTTTATAATTGAATCCTTTTAACACTTTTTGCCAGAGGCACAAAGTATATATATGTGGTCTAGGTCTACTCTTATTCTGTCAAAGGTTTAAAGATCACTTCATAGAAAAATGTATAAAATACCTTCCTTTATGATCTGTGTTTTATAACAACAGAAAATACAAATGTTATTGGTTAGTTTTACTAATCCTACAAAATATTTGATTTGATCCCAACCTAAGTATAAATAGAAAATTCACCTTTGGTGCCCATAAGAAAATATTTTATGAATTTATTCATGTTTTTGATGCTGTGAAAACGAGACTGGCAGTTCCTTAGAGTAATAAATATTCAGCGTGGAGACTGCCTCAAGAACTGCCATTTTGAAGGAGAAGCGAAGATTTCATATCTCTCAAACCTCAAGGGGCACAATATCTCGCAAAAATATACTCCACTACAGAGCATTTCATAGAAAACCCTTTGACAAAGATAGGTTGTCAAATTTAAAAATGTATAAAAACAACTTAGGTGCAGAGTATTAATAATCTAATGTAAATAAGGATTTGTATTTTTTATGATGAAAAACTGTATGCAAACCTTTTAAAATTTGGCAAGCTCTTTTTGGTGTTTTGCATTCTTTTTACTTAGTAACTATATTTCAATAATTGGATATCGGTTACTTAAAAAATATGTGACAACTCCTGGATAGCTATTTAATATAGTTTAGTGTACAGCAGTACTCAGTTGTTCATAAGTATAAACATTTATTTACCAAGCTTAATGTTCTATTGTTCACCATTTAAAGAAACTAAAATATTATTGGCCAAAGAAACTACAACTATGAACTTAAAAAGAGAAACTTATCAAAATAATTCAAAATGAGAAAAATCTTCAATAATTTTCTACATTATGTGAATGAGAATTTATCGAAGTTAAAATACAGGTAAATTATTATTAAAATTAACTTCAACAATGTGTGAACTGCATATTATAACTGGAGCGAAGTTTGATTTATCAATATTAATTATTTTCACTGATAATGACATGAACAATATTCTCTCAGTGACATGTGTCTATGTATTGCCAATTGTTATGCATTGACATGTCACATGCAGATGCTTCACCATGTTGAATGCAACGATCTGTGTCGCCATTGGTCTGGGCTAGGTAGGGTGTGTAGGATTGCTTATGAGTAGAAAATCATGACAGCTAGGTTACTTTTAGTATTGTGTACACTTGAGAATGTCAAAAAGATGTATTTTCGGTTTTGTTATATTTACTGCCTTAGCTTCCCCTCATCCTCTCAATTTTGCCTAGCAATTAAGATTAGGATGGTTACTGGGCTTATTTTAACCCTCATATGAATAATGTAATGTAAAGTTTTTGTGAAATGCATTGTTTAATTTGTTACTAATTAAAATCTGCACTTTATTTAGTAAGTATCAGATTATGAAAAGCTCCATGATAAAGGACAGCTGGGTCCAGTTTCCAGTTTTTCTACTAGTCTTTCTTTGGGTTGAACTGCAGCGTAGACCTTTTATGATCCTTCTGATCACTTACCTTACCTTACCTCCTTGGCCACTCAAACCTAAGAAGGTTTTTGGCCTCGCCAACAAGTTGCCTCCACTGCTGCCGGTCTGCCGCCAAGTCAAGAGATGCCCCCACTCTGCGTAGGTCCTTCTGGACTTGGTCTCTCCATCTCAAATTTGGTCTACCTAGCGGGCGAGTGCCTCGTGGTTGTCCATTGGCGATCTTCTTAAGCATACTTTCTTCTTCCCTTCTTTCTACATGGCCTGCCCATCTCAGTCGTCTACTCTTCACTATGGCTACAATGTCCTTCTGATCACTAGACCAGCAAATATAACCGCTCAGCTACTCAGCAATTTTGGACGAGCAAACCCAAAATAGGCTAAATGACTACATAAATCACATTTTGGCAAACTAAAGATAGCAAAGAAGGACGAGAAATTAGAAAACAGTCACATAATACCATAAATCTTTTTATAATTTTCCAAAGTGTACTGCACATTATTATAACAATAACTAACTTAAAGGTACGGTATCGAAAAAACAATAAAATTTTATAAACAAATCAAACTCAGTTCTTGTCCAACTTACTACTCAAGACCTCTTGGAACTCTTGAATATGATTGAGACTTTCTTGAAACTTGTCCATTTCAAAGTTTATCTTCTTCCTTTGTTGATGATTGAATGGATATACATTCGAAGAGAGGTTTTATATTCTTGAATTGTATTAAAACTTTACTGGCTTATCCTGACTTTACTTACCTTGGGAAACAAACCTTTAGTGTACCGGTACTTTGAAAATGATGAATCTTTTAAGAATTTTATTATTTTCCGATTTATATTGCACTTTTGCCAAAAATAATATAAAAACATGTGCCGTGTATCTTAAAAACTTATGAAAAATAAAATAACTAGGGTTGCTTTCAGAGAGGTGAAAGCCAGTTGAGCGGAACAAACGTGATTTGATATTTGTATAAGTAACTAAATGTAAAAAAGTCAATAGATGTACTAATGCTGGTTTTATTGATTAAAATTATAATAATTCAGATTTGTTTGTATTACATCTTGTTATTCAGATACCTCTTCCAAAAGTGCATTATGGTAGTTTTGACCAGGAAAATATTACAGTAGTTGGAATCTGGAATTAGCATCCAAAAAGGTCATTAAAGTATAAAAAAGAGAAAGGAAATTTAACATTCAAATTCAACTGTAGCCTACAACAAAAACATTGGACTTCATCTTTCACCCTTACAATCGGTTAAAGTAGGCTATATTAAAGTATAAAAAAACAGTAACTATTTAAAAAACGAGTATTAAAGTATTACAACAGGAGGGGAAATAAATTCAACTGTGCAACATAAACATTGTTCTTCATTTCAACCCCTGCAATCGGTTAAACTCAGCTTTCTTTGCTAGAAATAATTTATGATTGTTAATACCAAGTATTCTTGATGAAGGATGTGTAATGTAACTGGAATTTAGGTCTTCTACCATTATTTAGGACGATTTAGAGACGGCATTTTAATACTGTCCTTAATAATACCATTGGCCATTGGATACAGAAGATTTGATGAAAAAGCTGGTTACAAATTTAACATGGGGATGGAATGTCTAGTTGTATTGATAGTCAAAGATAAAACATAGGCCTACGAAAAATGTAGGGCTATTTTAATGTAAGACTCAAAGTAAAACATCTAGAATAAATGTAAAATGAACTGAATTATCAATCATGTATTTCAATGTGTAAAAACTGCAAAAAGACTTACTTATTGAACAATAAAATAAGATGGCTGAAATGTAGGCCTAAACATAAGTATTAAGTAAACATCGCATATTCAGCTGATTTAAGTGAAAACATAATAATAATAAGAAGGGAAGTCATGCCTTAAAAATAAAATGTAGATAATATAATTAGAAATTAGTAGCCTACTTCTGGACAGGCCTAGACGATTATCCATACCTTGGTTAAAAGTGTACTTCTATAAGTACAGGTAATTAATTATTTACTTATTACGGTTGTAACTGGACGTATGTATAGTCCGTGGCTTGGCAATCAAATAACAGTATTTATATAGGATAGGCTACTGTTGTCAACATTTTAAATTACTGAATTGTTACCAAATTACTGTTTCACAAAACGCAGATTCCATTTTCAGCCGAGCCATTAAAATGAGGATTTGCCGAACAATTATTAATATTACAGAATAGTATTTAATGATATACAACTTTTCACATTTCATAAATTATATGTTAGTTTTGCTATGGTCAAGGTCCAAATCCAAATGTTCTTTTCATTTGGTTTTTATGTAGTAATTTGCTAGAATTATTGACTTTATATAAAGTCAATGCTAGAATACAGTAGATGGTTTGTTAAGACCATATGCAAACATTTTTGAAATCGTTTCCCCGTTTAACCAACTATTCCAAAAGATAAAAATTATATGGTGCAACACAAATAAACAACTCGATCACCTACCTATAACCTACACTTTACCTCCCTAATCTAACCTTACTTCAAAACACTTAATGTAGTCACGAATACTCATAAACCCCGACCTACCTTCCCCACATGCCTAAATTAGATCAGTGTTCAATCTGCGTTTTATTAATAAGTGTATAACTTACTGCACCGTCGATGTAATTCAACATAATATAACCTGTGATGTATTATCGGATTAAATATCGATTTCGATGCGGTTCGATATATCGCTTATTAAATCCTGATTTCTAACATTGGCTGTTTCTAATCAGCTGGCAACACAAATCTTGTTTACATTTTTCTTGTAAACAAAAAACTGTTATATGACTACTTTAGTCCCATAAGCCTAATGTTAAAATTTGAAAATTTTAAGTTCCTTTTAAATTGCATTAGCATTATCTAATTGAAATTTGTTTGTTTATTAACCATCTCACTATTAGTCTAAGTAATCTTGTTAAGTTTAGCTAAAATGTGTTCTACCGTTATTGAGTGATGTTGCTTTATTTGTTGCATTAAAGTTGATCCCAAAGAGCTACGCTCAATCAATACTGCCATTTTACCACAGATTTTTTGTTAGGTATTGTATTCAATAAAATATATCGAAACAAACATTTAAGCCAGAGTTGATTGTTTTGAAGTCCCATTTTGGCAAAAAATAATATT